CGGCTTGCCTCGTAGTCAGTTTCGTGTGTGCCCTTGACTGGCTCATCTCGGTCTGGACTAGCGGCAATGTCAGGTTTGTACTGAAACATTCTGTCCCCTACCACTGTAACAGTGATACTAGTGATGGGGAGGCATGCGAGTAGTATGTTTTCTTCGTGAATCCGCCTGGCGTCTCCTGAAAAGTGAGATCTATTGCGAAATTTGTGGAGTCGCATTTGCTCGCATTTGAGTAACAGTCAGTGAATATTCAGGAAAGTTCAGGAAAACGCGTTCAAGGGGAAGATGGACGTTTAGTTTTCGTAAAGAAGATGCATACGAGAGTTTTGCTTCCCTGCCCAATAGTCTGCAACAGCTCAGTTGGCATTTTCTAATAAATAACTCCGCAGCGAGGGCCTTCTTCCTCTCACTCGTATGGCCATTCTTGGGGCCAAAATGTCGTGCCGTCTGGAACATGAGGCGGCACATTCAGTCCAAGAATGCCATAAACAAGAGATTCAGTTGGGATCTACTTGAGTCTCCCGTCTTTCATACGGCCATTGGGATTTCACTCTTAACTTCGTACTGAATAGCAATTAGGTCCCGTACACCAACTGCACCTCCACCAGCACACAAGATTAGAACCAGTAACTGGCTTGTGAGTATTATGCAATAGCCAACTAAAACATAAATCGGAAAACCAAATAATACTTTTTTGACAAAAGCAACTCTAACTGGAGGCACTTTTTTGCAACGTACAAGTAAGCTCACGACCTACTACTGAGTAGTAACGGGACGATGCTTGATGCGAATTCGGATGTCGCATTCAGCTCCCGTCAGTGTAGAAGCTATCAGCGGTTAGTCAATGTCAGTGGCGTTCGTGCTGTCAGTTTCTTTCCAGATTGTCTGATTGAGTGGTTGGAGGTGTAGGCACCTCAGTATGCTTGACATAGGCCCATAGGCCAGGGTCCCCTCCCTCACTTAATCTTTCTTTTCACTCTAGGGCTTTTAATATGGTTAAACGAACGTCATGGTTGTACAGCAGCGAAGCATCAGTGTCAACAACGATGTTGCTGTCTTTGATGATGATGATGATGATGATGATGATGATGATGATGATGATGATGATGATGATGATGATGATGATGATGGTGTTGATGATGAAGATGGTGATGATGAGATTGCCAGCAGGAAGTAGGAGGAATTAGGAACTCATAACAAATAGCAACCGTAAGACTTTCGTAAGGATTCGCTGAAAAGCCGATTGCCAGACACAAAGCCGGTAGAAACCGCTTTCACTCTTTCTAGGGATGATCTGGGTCAAATAAGCCGCTCTCCAGCCATCTGTAGCTCGGATTTGGTTGGCAGCGCGACCTATACACTCAACTGGCTTAGACAAATTTCCAAGTCTGCCCTGACACAGATGGGATATTTCACCATGAAATCCACTCATTACCTTTCACTGGAAGCAACTGTTGGCAGATAGACCGCTTCCAATGCAGCCATTGCATTGTACAAAGGCAAAAGGGTTTCCTTTTGTTCCAGGAGCTTCTGTTGTTCCTCAACTTCTGCCTCAACACTTTTGAGATCACCGAGGATACTGTTTGTCAAAAGTATCTTGTGTTCCGTTTCCTAAATGGGAAAAAGGACAAGCAACTATCAAAGATGCCGTCACGTTCCTGTCGCCGTCATGTTTTAAACAAGAAAGCAACGTAACCTACAGAAGTTTCACCAGATGAGTCAATAAATATGTTTGTTCTGATTTCTTATTTGAACATGCGCAAGTACGTTGCGCAACACCAAACGGAGTGAAATTGGGGTAGAAACTGGTGACCTGGTGTTCTCCTTCGATGTGGTGAATAGCTTGACTGGTAGATGAAGTATAGGGGCAACTAATATTCACATTACTCAAGTACTCACACACAAACCTATTCACCAGTTATTTTTTCTTTCATTTGTTGATTGACTGATTCGTTGATTAATTGATTAATTGACTAACTGACTGACTGATTGATTGATTGATTGATTGATTGATTGATTGATTGATTGATTGATTGATTGATTGATTGATTGATTGATTGATTGATTGATTGATTGATTGATTGATTGATTGATTGATTGATTGATTGATTGATTGATTGATTGATTGATTGATTGATTGATTGATTGATTGATTGATTGATTGATTGATTGATTGATTGATTGATTGATTGATTGATTGATTGATTGATTGATTGATTGATTGATTGATTGATTGATTGATTGATTGATTGATTGATTGATTGATTGATTGATTGATTGATTGATTGATTGATTGATTGATTGATTGATTGATTGATTGATTGATTGATTGATTGATTGATTGATTGATTGATTGATTGATTGATTGATTGATTGATTGATTGATTGATTGATTGATTGATTGATTGATTGATTGATTGATTGATTGATTGATTGATTGATTGATTGATTGATTGATTGATTGATTGATTGATTGATTGATTGATTGATTGATTGGATTGATTGATGATTGATTAGTTTCATTTAGATGGCTGATATGCAGTCATTCTGCTACGTTGTCCCAAAACGTCCTTGTCAGTGTTGTCTCTGCTACACAGCCTACTGCCCACAAGTAACTCAAAGAACTCGCATTTCCGATTTTGAATAGTCATCTCTCCACGTGACCCATTTCCCCTACCTGAATGTGCTTTTCCTGATCTTCAGCGGCTTTCCGCAATCGCAGCAAATGCTGCTCGGCTGCCTCGAATCCAAGGCGCGCAGCATCAAGTTCCAATTTTTTCTGCGTCAGATCCGCTTCCAGTTGAGCCATTTCGAATTCTTGTCCAGAAAGCCGTTCTATTTCCGCTCGAACGCCATCCAGTGCGTCACCACATCTGCACAATGCGTGTAGCCACAGACATATCTCCTCAGCAGCTAAACTAACCTGAAATGTCCGGGAATGACAAGAGTTGTGTGGATAGGGCAGGATACGGAAGACGATGTTGAAACAAGCAGAAAGAAAGCATTGTTACTGCTGCAATCAAACAAAACTTGTTGAAATCGTGAGACTACTGAATATCTTTTACCGGCGGTAACTGGATCAACTGTGACATTAGGTTTTGCGTGGGCTCGATTTAAAGGGAGTGTTAATCAGTCGGGCTAGTCTTTGACGTGTTTTTTTGCATCATTTGTAATTTGTCCGGCCTTGGTCCAGCACATTGAAATCTTTGTACGTTTAGAGCACTAATTTGGTTAGAACAAAAGGAATTGAACAAGATCGCGCGAAGCCAACCACTCCGCAAGAGAGAGAGTCAGCGGTTGGGGTTTATGCTGCCACCTCTCCGCAAGGGCAAGCCAATGTACAAAAAGAGAAAAAATTTGTTTACTTTGTGCCACTGCAAAAAGACCTATTTACTTTCTGAGGTCACACCGGCAATACTCAATTTCTTCGCAATCTCTTTCATTATCCTCTGCCAGATCGAAGATTGGTTAACTGTCTGTTGGCATCGCTTTAAATCAATAAGGAAAACTGTACACTTTCAGGCAAACGATGATTTGGAATACCGAATTCATGGGCTGAACACAGCAGCTTTTCCGCTGTACAGTTTCTTCGACAACCAAACACTCGCTTTTTTGACTGTCTCGCAACAGCCCGCAAGAGGTATGCTTCCAAGAAAATGGTCATTGAAGAACTGGAAACGCCTCAATTCTGCAACTCTTCGGAAAGGCCACGTCTCGTACCCGTAAAACAAAGTAATATTCACGGTACCCTGATACACACGTCCCTGGAGATTCAGGGATATGCTTGTTTGCCCTCACGAGAATCTCGAATTAGCAAAGGTGATCCGGACCCTAGAGATTCGTGGATTGGCCTAATCTGTCACACTACTGTTGGAACTAATACAATCTCCAAGATACGTGAAACGCTCCACAACTTCGAGTCCCTCCCCTTGGATTGTAATTGGCGCTTTCAGTGACTACATGTACAGGAGCACGATTTTACGCTTTGGGGTGCCGAACGATGGGATTACTTCGACCCCTTCATCCAAAAGCACCTTACCCTCTTCTGCCGTTCAAAGATGAGAACGACCTTGTCTTTTTATACTCCAGATTGACAAGGTCTACGTCATCACCACGGTTTTGAAGACATTCCATCGTTCGAGTGATTATGTTGTCCATCACAAGTAGGTACCCCTGACGGACTTCACTTTGTGTGCGGAGGCTTTTGGTAAGCTCTCACACATCCACAAGTTTAAAAATACAGATAACACAGCATATTCACAAGATTTCAGGGAGTTAATCGCCGAAGTAGACGCTGACCAAGATATGACCCAGATTGTGGCCAGGCATCCGAGGTGAGATGTCGAATCCACGTAGCTTTACAATTCGGTACTAGTTGCAAGGCTCCAACCAAAATTGGTCCCGTTCAGAGGCGGTCAACCACACATCAAAACTGAACGAGCGGTGCACAAATAAAACATTCCTGTTGCGTTTTTGAACAGGTAGAAAACACGAAATAACGGTTGGGTTAAGTTTACTTCTCCACCTTCAACATCGAGACTGGAGTTGATCCAGCCGCGAAGGTAGATCACACTGACAGTTTTACGATTTGAATGATCGCTCGTTACCAAGGGGATACTGAACAAGCCAAGATGCTCTCACAATCGAGCAACCAGGTCAAATAAACTTCCCTGACGCTGTATATCTTTGTAATGTACTACTCATAAGGTTGCTGATATATCGCCATATCTCGAATATCGTAGCGACGGAAACATAAGGCGGCCTGGTGCAGCACATTCAGTTGCCTGGAAACATCACAAACGAGAGATTCAGCTGGGGCTCCCGGTGAGTCTCTCGCAAAACCGAATTTGTCCCAAATGAGTGTATATTCGCTAATTCCCTGACACTGGTTCATCTGGTGATGACAACCCCGAGACATCTCCACAGAAAAAACGCTACGGTATCCACACTGTTTCCGTCCCTATTTGCTTAGAACACCAGTCAGACAGCAACTCACCCATGGTCGGAAGAGGCCTTAAAATGAGCGCACAGAAAGGCGGAGTACTGCGCAAGACTACCGTATTTACTAAAGTTCCATTCGTATAGCGCGTTCTTTTCTCCTCTGAGCATTAAACATCGAACGTGCTGTTGATCTTCTTATAGACGAGTCGCAGTGACAACTAGCAGTGGTGGACCAGCCATTTCATAAGCTTCTTCGACGTAGCAAGTTTATAGTGCATTATGACGGCCTTGATAATCCGATCAGTCTACCCGAGTCCAGCTGAGGATCATCAAATAGTCGGTTTATTGTAGGCATAAAATTATCCTTCACGCGGAAATATCAATACTCTTACCTTGTGCAGGTTGGTGATGCTCAGCTCGGGCAATGCCAATCGTCGCCTCAGTTCGGCGTGATGATATGGCGACAGTTGTGTTCGATGGAAGCCAAGGATTCTACTGATGAACTGAGTGGGTACCATCATTTTTTTGGCGCTGGACCAACTGTTCAACGACGGAGGGGTGGTGAAAAAAGTGTTTAGTACCGTGGATAGGTAGGGGGGTGTACAAATCGACCAAACGTTTCTGGCCATATTCTCGTTTGCGACATAACCGCCATAAATCCTAGATAGGCTTCCTGGACCAGTTGAGGACCAGTTAAAAGGCGAAGTCAATCTGCAGAGATTCCAGCTGACAGTACCAAGTGGAGATCAATCTTGCATAGACAGAGTACATCTCAGTTCAGCAACCTGGACTGAAACTAAGCAAATTAATTTCTTCTTAAGTCTTGAGAAAGTTCTCTATAGGACTTATACGACTGCTAATTTGTTTCTGCGCTGACGTTTCAACGATGCAACCATGTTGTAACTAGAATGGAACGCTACGAGCAACTGAAATGTGTTTATCTGCACGTGTTTATACCGGACGTCGTAAGCTACTGAAATCACTAAGCATTCATCAGGAAGCCAGAAAGCACTTTACGACAGTTTACTCTTAATTTGGGTAGCCCACGAATCTCCAGGCGACTCGTCTCCCCATACGGACTTACTCACCCACCAAATTTATGCGCCATACCTAAAACTTTGAACATAGAAAGAAGCACTCAAACTTTCCACATCGAATTAGGCTTAGGGTGAATGCGTGTACAAAGTAAAAACACAAGTATTAATACAATACTCATCATGCTCTCTATCCTCAGGGAATGAGGAGGCCGCACGCCTCTTCTATTTGATGTTCAGAGTCATTCAGACTGGCAGTAAGCCTCCATCAACAAGGTAGTCACGTGAGCTTTTTTGTCCATCAAAACTGATGGGTGGTTTCGATCGAACTGATGAGGACTACACCAAGCGGGTATGTGCAAGCACGTGAAAATCCGCGGTTTAGATGGATTGCATCTTGATGGCACCAAAACCGAGTGCCGTAATAGGCATTTGGCACAATATCATACTGAGGAACAGAAAAGGGCAAAGTGCGGGACCCACTAGGGTTGATAATAAGGAATGAATAAATCCGAACAAAAGTGACACTCGCTCTGGCAACCATCATGCTTCAAGGATGAACTTTCACCGACTTGGAGAGGTCCTAACATTGCATAGAGATTATTACAGTGCTGAACAATTCCCCTTCCAAATGAAGTTTCACAGAAAAGGCCGCACCTCCAAGAAGAGAGCCAAATGCCTTAGTCCTCATGTATAACTAAAGATAGGTTGCCACTGCATAGAAGTGCTTTAATGTAGACTTGTCCCCACAGATGACATCATCTTCGGAAGGGGTTCTACTCCACGCTGCAAACAGCCATTTTGTTGTTCTGATAGGTTTAAAATACTGAATATTCCGTTAGAGAAAGTTGGCTTGGATATGAGTGGAGCGATTAAATTAATCAACTAGGGGCCCACTTTAAAGGACTTTCATGGGATAACTAATAGAGACAAACGGATCCGCCAGTCCATGAAGTGGAAATCACATTTGAAATCGCCTGTACCTGAAACTAAGTACTTCAAAGCGTGCTCAAGACATTTTACTTCACAAAACGAAGCACTTCGCGTGAAAGCTCGGACTGAACCATGGTAGGCGTAGGTTCTGGTTCATCATCATCATCATTACCACCACCACCATCATCATCATCATCATCATCACCATCATCATCATCATCATCACCATCATCATCATCATCATCATCATCATCATCATCATCATCATCATCATCACCATCATCACCATCATCATCATCCTCATCATCTTCACCATCATCGTCATCAGCATCCTCATTTTCAGTTGTAAGAACCGCGTACTTGTCATATAGTGTTTGTAGCTCTTGTTCCAGTGCCCCAATGGCGCCGCACCAGATCACTACATGAGAATGCCTTAAAGTGCAGCTTTATCCAAAGTTATGGCACACACCAAGTACAAGCCCGCCAGAAGAACCTACCAGTGCGAACTCTGTGTCTGGATCCTGGAAATATAAGGCTCAGATTACAGATGGGTTTCAGTACACTGAAGGACGGGACATGGAGGCTGCCGAGATAGAAATCAGAAAACAGGCCATCCCTCAGAATTGAAAACAGAAGACTCTGCCCTTAGAACTACAACAAACAGAAATAAAGGCTCACTGTAATTTTTATGTTTACTTCTCCGCAGGGACTAAAGACCGGTATCTCCGCGATGACAGGGCTCAAATTTTATCCTACTTTACTGGTAGAAAACTCCTTCAGGCATTTTCCATCTTAATAGCTAGTGCTAACCTCAGGTGCACGGAAAAATGCTACAACAGCACTGTCACAAAGACTTCTGTATCGATGGGAGAGCTCCTCCGAGCACAGCGCGACTTCGGTGAATCCTTAGGTTGTGTGCTGTTCTACGGGGGGCACTACGCCCGTTTCGTGAAGAATTTAGGGGCCTCTTTGCAAAAAGCCGGTTGAGGGGAATCGCGCCCACAGGACGGTTAGGAACCCTCGTGAGAAGTTCGTGTTTGTTTGATCCGAAACCGCGTTTCAGTGACTTTGTTGCATCCCAATTAGGTTACTCAAAATGAAAGATAGGAAAACAGAGTAGAAAATCAATATTCGCATCACGTACTTCTCTTCTTCTCCGAACAGCATGCAAATTGCGTAGATGCATGACTTTACCGATTCCGGTGGCGCCGGATATGACCTCAGTTCATCTAGCATCTCAACAGACAGTGTGTAAAGTCGTTGAAGAGCCGCTTGATATCGCTCAGCTGCCTAAATGAATCAGAAAAACGAGTGGTTGTGAGGGAAAATGAACTAAAACCTAACCGAGCGTCTGCACTTATCAAGATTCCTGAACGCCTTCCTGACTTTTCCTCAAAGATTCTGCCGCCCCTACTTTCGTGAGTGTGCTGAAATTCGGGTGGGTATTTCTGTGAATGAGGCAACATTATCCCGCATCTAATTTGATGGCATATGACGAGCAGAACTGTACTATAGAGGTGTTTCAATGGCAACTGGGAATCATCTCGATCTTGGAAATGACAGTACTTCTGAGTACACAAAATAGTTGAAGGAAAATAAAAAGCGAATGCGCGGAAACTCCATTCTAATTTCGTCAACATTCTATCTCAAGAACAGCAAAAATTATGCTGTTCTTAGATGCACTTCTGTTCTTAAGGACATGGCAAACAAAATATTCAGCTAGGTTCCAGGTGATTTTCTCGTCAAAACCAAATCGATATGCAAGCGAGTGTATTTTTTCCAATTTGGTTCAAGTAGAACATAAGGTTAACGGAATATTTGGGACTGAGCCTACTCGATGAAACCCCGAAAAGGGCAAAACAGGTCGAAAACTTTTCAGCGACCTTATGAGTAGTGTGTCACATCCAGGCTCTTCGTACTTTCGCTGTTTTTTTATTGACCAGCCTTTACGACCTTATAGGCTGCCATTTAGGTGTGCGCGTTTATCACTTACGCTCATCTGCTGTCATGCCCGATGATTGACCTACCGCCACCAACACTTCACGGTGATCAGGTGACCTACGGGATCGATAGGACGATTTAGGGAAACTTCCCCAATACCCAATCCAACTCCGTTTGGACTTGGCCTGTTCGCTGATTGGTTCGAATTTCCTTAAACGTGGACGTCGTGTGGGTCCACGTGTACTCCGATGGGAACAAAATACTTCTAAAGACTGGATCGTAAAATGTCTGACTGACTATTAGTTGACTACTGAATTCGTCAGATTTCCTACGTATTTCTTTACACAACCTAAGCCAAGAAACCGATTTTCAGTACGATTTTCTACATATTTATCTACACAACCTAAGCCAAGAAACCGATTTTCCTGTGTATACTGTAACGGGCCTTGCCATACGGGTTGTTTTTTGCTAGGAAGTTTCGTTCAGGAGTTGTTGCGCGATTCGCTTAAAAGTGCATCGGAATTTGAAGGGTGGACGAGTAACAATCATTTATTAACTACCTACCTGAATAATGCACACGTTTCCTGACACCTGAGTTGGAATATACCTATGAAAATCCTGGTGAAGAGAGCAAAAAATCTGTTGGACGAAGCATCCATCTCCTCTTCAGTGGCAGGATCATCAACCTAAGCCGTTGTGGACACTCCACAAGTTTTCCCATCTTTTAGTTGAGACGGTTATGAGTTATTACATTTTACCATCAATCGACTGAATAGCAAGTTGTGTGATTAGAGTTGTTGGCCCAGGAGCCATACACTCTTCATGACCAGGGAATGTTCTAGAACATGTGGTGGCTAACAACCTGAAATTCACAACTGCATCTTCAGAGGCGATTGAATAGGCACAGAACCATCGTGCGACTCGAGTACCAGTGACTAATGAACGAAATAAGAGAATAGTCCACAGAAGTGACCTTGAAATCTCATAATTGCCGGGTCATGGGTTTGAAGCTTCCACGTTCGTTAATTACAGGAATGATATGAAGGATCCCGATAGAAAACAAACAGTCCACTTCGCTTTTCGTCCGCTCTCGATCGGTTGATCATCAGGCTCACACCTATCCAAAAACCAAGGGGTGTTCGACCTAACCGCGAGCATGGCGCACACATAAATCGATATAACTTTCCATAAAGGAAACTACTCACAAGGTTTCTGAAAGCTCTTCGACAGCCCACGACCGGTTTCGCACTTCCTCGTGCTCATCAGGTAGGCGCAGTCCCCGAGTTTCCGTCAACCTTATGATCTACTTGAACCCAAATTGTACTGTTTTCGAGAAATACACTCATCTGCAAATCAATTGGGTTTTCACGGGAGACTCAATTAAATCTCTCGTTTATGATGTTCTCCAGCTGAATGTGCTGCACACAGGCCGCCTCATTATTCAGTTGCCACGATATTCGAGATATCGCAGTATATTTTCATGAAGGAAACTACTCACAAGGTAAGGCGCAGTCCCTGAGTTTTCGTCAACCTTATGTTCTACTCGTGAAAGCCAAACTGATTTGCATATGAGTCTATTTCTCGGAATAGCTTCTGTTCGTTTTGGTTCACGTATCCGATGTTACAAGGAAGTGCAGTCGTTAGGGTGAAGGATAGTCAGTGACACTTGAAAACTACCTTGCCTAACTCACCCTTTCATATTCTCTTCTCGCCTTTTCTAGGGCTGTTTCCAAAGGTCGTTTCATTTTCCCCATTAACCGCTGTCCTTTGTTCACCGCTAATTGACAATAGTCCATTGCCTCCTTGGCTTCGTTCAAATTCCGCTCGGCCTGTGGAATCCAGTGCTGTTGTCGTAACATCTGCTCGTTTTTTACAATCTTCAGAGTTTCGGTTTCCACTGCCACCTGTTTCTTCATATTCTGATAACCTCGTTGAGCTTGTTCCAGTTGACCCGAACGAATGTGGACTGAATGTATGGACTCGCCATTCTGTAACTCATTCCACGTGTCCACTGCTGATTTCAGGAGAGTAATCCTTTGTTGGCCACTTAGATTCTGCAGATTTGCGTTTTCCTGACACATCTTTTTATGAACTCGGACAAAAAGTTGTTTGATTTTGTTCCCCGGCCCATGTGGTTCACAAACTTGTTTTGACAGGAATCCGTTCAAAGTTTTATCCTCATTCAAATAGACCGCGTTTGGCTCGGTCGGTGATTGGTCCAATGTGGTCAGGTAGATCACGCGGTGCCATGAGACAGCTTGACAAAGAGAGTTGATCACGTTTTCTGCAGTAGAGATAAAAAGGTGGGTAATTTTTTCAAAAACTTCATTCTAACTCATACCTCATTGATGGGGTGCACTACATGGCCTGGCCTTCAATAGTTTCGTGGTCCTACTAACCGTATAAATTGTGCTGGCGAATTTCAACTTCAGTTCCAAGAGAGAGAGAACTAGAGAATCCGGGACGTGGGCTGCGTCATTATGGGGGNTTTCTTGAGAAATTTGTTTTGTTTGTCCAAAAACTGAATACCCATCTTCTCTTTGAACGCGCCTTCCTGAACTCTCCTGGATATTCGTTGACTGTTGCTAGAATGCGAGCAAATGCGACTCCACAAATTCCTTCATAGATCTCACTTTTCAAGAGACGCGAAACGAATGTACGAGAAAACATACTACTCGCATGCTCCCGTCAGTAGTATCCAGGCGTACCATATAAGCATCAGAAACGTGAACGATACGAACATCTGTCCACTAGAGGAAATCACACTGATGGCGCAGACAGATATAAGCTGTTACGTATTATGGGTATGTATTGGTTTCTGATTTCAGGTTCTTTATTGTAAAAGTGCGGAGGTGAATGATAGTGACGTTTAAAAGAATTCAGGCTTTGACGAAGCCTCTTGTAAGAAATGTGGATTATGACTAACCATCAAGACGGTACACTTATTTTTTCCGATAAACTATCTCAGAATCTTTTCCAGATAATCCTCTCCACTTTTTGCCAGCTCCAATTTAATGTACGCACACAACCTTGACCTATTCTTGATAAGAACAGTTCCTTATCTGCATCTAGGCTCATTTTGTGCAAACATTTTCTACGTTCGGATGTAAAACCTTAATTGAGCATTCCGACGCTTCAACTCTCGTTCATGACAAGGAGACGGTAATACGTTATTTACAAAGCAACGGAGTGATCCATCAGCAACGCTAATGCAACAATGGCCACCAAATTACACTTTCAACTGTTTCTGACAGGTGTGATGCCCGACAGTATCGGCAAGAAATCGGTCTTCGAAAGGGAACTTGGCTGGAGCGGTTTAGGATGGAGTTTAGGACAGTAATTCTATTCATTTATTGCTGATTCTAAAATTTGGCTAAAATCGAATTCTGCTCAGAGGAATTAACTATTAGCCACACAACCGCTATCGACTGGAAGAACTTTCTTCGCTTTTGCAGACTCCAACAGTTGTCGGCGGCCCAGATCTACACGTCGAGATCGATGAGTTTATTTCAAAACTGTCACATGACCTTGAATAGCAGTGAAACTAGACGATACGACGAGAAACGCATCAGCCGAAGCATACGATGAATGGTTCTGGGTCAGTAAACTAAAAGTAAATGATTACAAATATAAAAATAAAATGTAAAAATATTGGTAACTCAGGCTGTAACGATGGACGTTGGTTTGTTTGCTGAGCAGGACAATTTCAACATATTGAAAACGTTTGACCACCAATCGAGATGACATCGTCATTACGTTGTGAGTAGAAGTGTGTTGATGTTGGAAGTGCGTGGTGGTTGCGCGTGCATGGATCGATACAGTATCTACTTACTCAGTTAGACCTTGACTGATCATTAGTCATTTGGATGAGCATTCATTGCTGGTTAACCTGTCTCCTGATTGGCACGGATTCAGGCAGTCTTGAGCCTGAGCTCTACAAATAGTCCTTGCATTAGGAATATATATGAATTTACAGCAAGGCTAGTAGCCCAGTGAGTAAAGTGACCTCAAGTCCGAAGTAAAAAACCAACTAAGGTGAAGGAAACAACCCAATCAATTTCGATGGCAGTGACACATGTTACGAGGACCGGAACCAAATTTATCACATGGCTATCGGAAGATAGGACCCAGTGTCTCTTAGTTCCACAAACGAAGATCTGGAAAGACACAAGGTCATTCTGGAGAAGGTGGCGCACAAAAGTACAAAACGCGAGAAGGAAGTCCTAGAATCTAGATGCTCAGCGCCTAGTTGGTTACGCTGCTAATCGATGTCAATTACGTCCTTGTTGCCTGCATGAGGTGTGAGTACCTCGGATTCATTGTGGTGGGCTAGCACCAAGTCCCTTCTCCATCCACTTTTTCATCACTTCTTCACAGTGAGGCATTGAAATGAATCATGGTTGCATGGCAGGGATGCATCAATGTTTAATACTGATGTCATGCTGTCGATGATGATGATGACGTGCTCTGCAAAAGATTCAGTCAAGTGGCATGTCGCAATGAAACCTGCCTACACACTGCAACGACTAACAATCAATCAGGGTGAGTAGTCCATGTATCAACTTATCCATGAGGCTGACCCAGTGTGAGTAGTCCATGTATCAACTTATCCATGCGCAACAACCTACTTCAACACACTACTCAAAACGAACTGACGATGTCACTTGGACTGGTGAATAAACGTTTTCAGATTGCCAGCTCACCAAACAAACCAACGGTAAAAATACTTGTTAGTTGGCGCGCAAAGATCATAGAATGAGATGAACGCCTATATCAGTGGGGTAGAACTCAAAAATTGTCTATGACGAATCACAGCTTTCATGACCTCAAAGATTTTGGTACAGAGTCAACAGAATGCAGCATAGTACAACCACATATATTTGTACCTTTATTTGGCAGCACAAGGAACAAGTTTGCAATCCTTGAATCATTACGCTGTTGCATCGCCATTTCGGCCAGTTTGAATTGGGTCACTAAATTCTGTGTAAGTGTCTTCCACTGTGCATCAGCTTCTACGTTCAAACCTGTACAGTCCAGAACGAGTGGATCGTTATCCCACCCCTGCAGATCGATGTCACGTTCATGCAGCCCCAACGTCACAAAATGAGGACTGTTCAGCCGCATTCGGTGGGCAGCATGGTAAATAAGGTCATGCAGCTTTGAGGTCAGGATTCCACTCTGGTCAGGCTCCTTGTAAACGAACAGTATTCGGCCACCCGGCTCTTTAATCGCACTGTAAACAAGTATGGAAGGAACAAAATTGAAAATAGGATTCGCTCGATCGTTTGTTGCAGTTGTAATGTTTAAAATGGCCTACATCAGACGCTTTGTTCTATTTTAGATGTCAGTAACTGCCGTCGAGAGTCATTCGATTATGGAAGTTGTGAGTTTCGACTGGATATACGAAACCGGGCCAAGTACAAAGACTGTGCAAAGAAAGCACTCATGGAAGGTGGCACTTTGATGAAACTAGTGGAGCGTACGCATTCAAATTTGCACGAGATGACCTAAGAAGTATCAGGAAGGTCAGATTCCTGAAAGTAACCACTGAATGCCCGAAATCTACTGAGACTCTCAGCACCTCCAGGTGCTAACCAGAAAGACAACGCCCCCTCAATATGCAGTGCGTCACAAACTTGTATCAAACCCAGACTGCGTGAGTCAGCGTTGGATCAAGTTCAGACGGTGTCTCTCCAGTAATTAGCTTGAGACCGTTTTATATTCGCACTCGCTTGTTCGGAATATAGCTGTTGTGTTCCCTTCTGTGAGTCTTTTCTCTCCGACACTAGGCACTGGAGCGGGTCAGCAGCAGATACCTCAGATTGACGAGTCAGAAGATATAACAAGAAGCCATTGAGTCAGTCCGTTGTAGTCTGGTTGATAAAACCATTTATCTCTTGTTGCCCAATAATGCACAATCTCACAGAATAATGCAATCTCAAAAATACACTCATTTGCAAATCAACTTGGCGTTAACGGGAGGTTCAGTTGAGTCCCGGTTGAATCCCTCGTTTATGGTAGCTGAACACTAAGCCATTTAACAACAAACAGTCGATGAACTGATACGTCTGCTCATTTCTACAAGTAGATCGAGGATTCTGGGCAGGACCTTTTTGTGCGGAGGCCAGCCGCCCCTGAAAACCGAACATCACATCATTCGGTCGGATGTGTCACGTGCAGGACACGGACCAAACGAAGGCATGCCCTGATTGGTCAGAATGTTAGCTAATCCGGATTGAGAATCTTTGACTCGACGCTTATCGCCCCCTCACGTAGATTCTAGCACGACCTTGTGGAACACCTTGCGATTGCCCTATAAATACGGTTGTAATAATTTTCCTTTGTCTCCATTGAGGGCTGTGTAGAGCCACCGTGGTTTTTGATATACTGTAGTGGGCGGAGCAGGAAGCAAAGGGACCGATACAGAGTTGCACTACCGTTCAGCAAGCCACAACACTTTTCAAATTTTGAATGTTTCACTTTGGTATCCATGTGATTAGCTTATTCAGTGATGTGACAGTAAAAGTCCATAGCTGTTCTTGGCCATCGGCCTGACTCCCGTCGTTGGCAGTGCTGACCAAACTGAGACACGGTGGCCTCTAGGCTGACTAGCATTCCAAAGCTTTGTGTCACTTGCTCTGTCTCTAAAATCGAATTCGACATGAGTTATTCAATAACATGATTTTGTTTATAGCAAAAAATTCATCAAACTTACTCGAGCAACCACCCCGTCATTCGCTCAGCTTCGGGCCAGTCATCCAGGGTCGCACTCGTTTCATCATGCGTTAGAATCGCAGGCGCACCGTCCAAACGAAGTTGTTGACCCTTATACGAGTTTTTCTCCTCATAAGCGTTCTCAACTTTCTTCAGTGAATGGTCCATCAGGATGTGCTGAATTAGTGCAGGACACTCTGATCTCATCGGTAACATGTTGGTTGCCATTTCGGAAATACAAGTTGGCTGACTGGGCAGAAGTGCTAGGTTGGGGTTGAGTCTGCGTTTCCTTGCCCAACTGGAACAATCTCGGTGGGGCTGCACCAAATATGCTTTGGTGGACACTATTGTCTCCACATCTTCTAGAATAATCTGTAGGTTCCTCCAGTCGGGTGAAGTCACGCCCCTTTTTCGAGCTCGCCTCCTTGGGACTCGACGGGGTGAACCTTGAGTTGGCTTTTCCTCTGACGGTACTTCTATGAATAAATTGCCACGTGGTCCCAGAAGCAAGTAGGCGATTGGGACCAGCATGCCTTTTGGTGTAGAGGACAAAATGTATCTATCGATCGAGGCACATAAGGTCGTCTGCAACCATTGATAGTCCTCATGGCCCCTAGGAACCATTGGAATGAGGCGTAACGCTTCATAGCACAAAGTCTCGAGGACAGCCATCACTGCGGCAGCCGAAACAGACTTTTTCGAGGGAACGGTCTCACTGACCACTGTTAGAATGAAAGAGAAACGGCTTGTGAGAGGCCTACATTTGAGACAGCTGAACTTCCTGAGAAACGAGAGGCAATAAAAACATGAAGTTGTATATTAAACTGGGTGAAAATCTTCAGCTGCATATCCTATTGCTGTTTCTCTAAACGGGCTCCCGGATTCCGAATTTAGAACCTCTGCGCCACTCTTGTAAGCAGAAAAGCTCTCGGTCAAAAGGTCTTTGTTTAGCAAACACCAACTAAACAGTTACAAACTATTGGACAGGAAAGTAAACACCTCATATACACCTTGTTTCTAAAACTGAATATCCTCACTCATCTTTGACTTCCGTGGATATTCACTGACTATCACGCAATTTTAGACGAATGCTGCAAAGCAGTTACACAAGTTCCGAAATAAACCTTGCTTTTCATTAGACGCGAGGCGGAGCTTCGAGAAAACCACATACTACTCACATACCTCATCCCTAGCGTCCGCCGTGATCATGATCAGCAAAGCAATTTTAATTTGATCTTCATGTCACATCTCGAAAGCCCACCTGCGTCCCCTCATTCTTTTCGTGGATAACGGATTGTTTCCTGATGAACAAGCGCAATCAAGTGAATTCACTGCGCTGCCCAGCCCTTGGTGGATCTTTTATGGTCTGCTGATGTCCCACCCTAGTCTTTCAACGCTGAGGAGCGTCCGAGTAAGAGTGAAAACTGTTTCTTCCTGTTTCCAATGTGACGCTGATACATGCAGGCCAGGAATACGAGCAACTGCATGTAGCCAGATCCAGCTGCGAGCCTTTTGACTGCAAGTGGAGTTACCGCGGCCGCTGGCACCAGACTTGCTCTCCAGTTGATCCTCGTTAAAGGCTTTGAATTACGGAGCCTCTAATGAGTCCCGTATCCGTATTTCTCGTCACTACCTCCCCGTGCCGGGATTGGGTAATTTGCGCGCCTGCTGCCTTCCTTGGAGGTGGTGGCCGTTTCTCAGGCTCCCTCTCCGGAATCGAACCCTGATTTCCCGTTATCCGTTATCACCATGGTAGGCAGGCCACCTACCATCGAAAATTGAAAGGGCAGACATTTGAAAGATCCTTCGCCGACACAAGGCCGACTGCGATCAGTACAGTTATCCAGAGTCATCACAGAATGCAACGATAGCAACCGAAGTCACCGCCGGTTCGTTCTGTTCTAATAAATCCACCCGTTTCCTTGCGGGTCAGGGCATAGTGACATGTATTAGCTCTAGAATTACTACAGTTGTCCATGCAGTATGTACGATCCAAGGCACTATAGCTGATTTACCGAGTCATTCGCGGTTTACACGTTTGAAGGTTTGTGCTTAGACGTGCATGGCTGTTAGGCTGGACTTAATTTTCAGCTGCAACATTGTTGTCAAGGTCTAACAGTGGCTCCTGTGAGCACTAATTCGCATAGTTGGACAGAGCGAAATATGGCGGTCGTGCGCCGACAAGTGTTGCCATGAACAGCAACTGGAAGACGCTTTATCCATCATCATCATCATTATTATCATCTTCATCAGAAATAGGACAATCAGTGTCGACGCTGATACTGCCGTACAAGCACAAATTTTATCGAATTATACTTATGTCTTTAAAGCCAAAAGTGTGGAAGAGTGGATAAGAAACGGACCCGGTGCTAACCTACACAAAGAGGTGTCATCAGCCAAGCGTATGGGGAGTCACGGCGATCCCATCCTGGAAGGCGAACCGCACCAAAGAACACCTAAACTCCTTTTAATATCTTTCGCCTCCTTCTGCGATTGCAGTTGTTTCATGCCGCGTACAATGAACGCGTCCTCTGAATCATATATCGACTGCCACTGGATCGGTCACGAATAGTACCAATTAGATTGTCATCCATCGTAGCGGCTTCCACTATCGAGCTATAGGTTCAAAAGAAACTTGTGTTAGATTACTAGCCGTCCTGTTGCTACATTGAACTTTGATGTAATACACTTGTCTCCCTGACCCATCGATCCGCGTCCTCCTTTTTTCCTCTATCCGCAAGTATATCTTAGCAGCATGTGATTTTTACCCATTTTCATGTGGATATATATTAGTGTAGCAGTGGATACTACTGTGGGGCATGTGAGTAGTATGTTTTTCTCGTAAATCCGCTTCGCGTCTCTTAAAAAGTCAGATCTATCACGTAATTTGTCGAGTCGCTTTGTAGCATTTGTTTGTGAGTAACAGCCAATGAATATGCAGGAAAGTTCAGGAAGATGCGTTCACGGGGAAGATGGACGTTCGGTTTTTGTAAACAAGATGCATATGAGAGTTGTACTTCCCTGTCCAATAGTCTGTAACTGTTCAGTTGGTGTTCTCTAATGGACGACTCCGCGGCAGAGGCCTCCTTTCCTTTCATTAGGATTGCCAGCAGAAAAGCATGCTAGCTTCATCCTCATACGGCAGCAAAATAGATGAAGCCTGAAAACTTACAAAGCAAACCCCATCTGGAGTAGTTTGCGATCCTCTTCTTCCACTTGTCACTGAGTAGTTTAGGTGGCGGCCCGCAAGGGAACAATCTGTGAAGATGCTCGCCCATGGCAGAAGCCAATCGGACAGCCAACTCCCACGTTAGGTTCAACTGATTTTCCGAATGTGGTCGACGCATGAGCGCGCAATGAATGCTCAATATGGTCCAACAGAGCCGCTTTTATAAGAGGACAAAGAAAACAAGGGAAATGAGATATCGAAATCGATCCTTGGATAAATGCAGTTTTTCAGGATGTCATACCTATTTTGTGCAAGAGGAAAGCCTTGTGTGTCCGAATCTTAAAACAGACGCGACATTATATCACAGCACACTTGTGTAACCGAGGATATGATCTGAGCAAAGCGGAGAGCGATGCGTTTTCCTCTTCCTCAGTCCTTCGTACTTCGTCGTCTTCGATTCCCTCAAATTTGTTTTTTTTTCGGGATGTTTTGAATCCAGTCGGATATGAGGGAATATGTGTCGATAATCCCGTCTCATTTGGTGTTCCTAATGTCCTTTGCAGTCAAAATAGACAAGGGTGTTAAGAGATTCAGGTAGTATTCAAGAACTGTGCTTTGTCGGCTCTGCTCAGGTAAGATAGACTAAGAGGTTTGCAAAGTTAAGACAAACCTCCGTAAAAATAGTCTACATTGGAAAAAGATACGTAATTCACTACTCATGTTGTTCCTGAAGACTCTGGGACAACCCACGACCATTTTCGTCCTTCTTGGGACCCATCGGGTTGGCGCAGCCTCCGAGTTTCCGTCAACCTCATGATCTACTTGAAAACATCATCAGCTACGTTTCAAGTGAGTCTCTCTAAAAACCAAATTAGTCTGCAAATGAGTGTATTTCACTGATTTCGTGCAATTTCGATTCAAGTGGAATATAAGGTTGACGGAAACTCGGGGACTGCGCCTGCCTGATGAGCCCCAAGAAGGGCGATACCGGTTGAAGAGCTATCAACAACCTTGTGAGTCCATGCTTGTATCGCGATATCTCGAATATCGTACCAACTGAAACATGGGGTGGCCTGGTGGAGCACATTCATTTGCCTAAAAGCACCATAAACGAGAGATTCAGCTGGGTTCCGGGTCAGTCTCTCGAAAAACCAAGTAGGTTTGCAAATCAGTGCATTTCGCTAGAAGCACTTCGTTGTTGTTCACAGCGGCTCCATTACCACTCAGTTACCTGTTCTGAAATCACCAACGTCTCAGGGTTTGTCAAACTAACCATCGGTCTTATCACCCCTTCAACTAAGCTAGCCAGCCTCTCGCCGATAGCCCATTGGGGTTTACACCTGGATGGGGTTGAATTTCAACCGGTCATCTGATCGCACTGAAGAACAGTAGAGGAGTATTCATTAAAAATCAGTTTGAATCCCCACCTCGCAGAATATGCGTCTGTGAATGAGTTAGATGAGTTGATACTCAGTTGAAATGAAACCAGGAACTACACTTGATCAGTCCCCCAAAATAACCGGTGGAAGGATATCAATGAGTTACTGTCACCAACTCAACTTTCAAACTACTTCACTTTCGGCTCGCAAGACATTCGGACCTCAGGTTTGTAGCGCTTGGGGTGACAGCTGACTGGTGAATGGAAGACAGTTGTCCTCTCTGTAGAGACCGGACCCTGTAGAACTCAACGTTCACTGGAGTGACCATTTTACGTTGATCCCATGAAAGGTGTTATTCCACTGGTGAAGTTCGCCATATAGGAACTCGTTTTGTGCCATGAGGCCACAACTCCTGAACGTCGTGCAAAGGCTAATCAAACTTCCCCACCTAGCAAATTTCACCCATTCGACCATGGTTATCTCATGCAAGACGGTAGGCTCAAACGAAATACGCTAACTGTTGACTAGTCCATCGAATCGTAGATTTCATCCTACCGGAGCGAGTTAATGAGTAAAAACTCAGTGGCCGATTCAACCTTCCGTATCTTGAAATCTGTAGAAAAAGTCCCCTGTCTTACCAGATGTCCGCTGGTAAAAACATTTTGATTTCTTTTTAAAAAACAAATATGTGCGGCCTCCGATCCAAAGTGAATACACGACCAATGTAATTCTGACCCGCGAATGTGAAAATGCTTCGAGTTGAGAAGGTGTAGAGGTCTGTCGACCCCATCAGATCAAGAAGACTTGTGTGCCATTCATCGACAAGTATTCCAACACTCGAGGCTGTCGGGGCACCTTCTGGCTGCTAGCTGAAATGACTTGCTTTTGAGTCATACGCCTAGTCAGTCTGGTCATTATCTCCGTTCAGGATACGATTTGGATGAATCGATAGTTCACACGAGCCCTTGACACCAATTTTCGGTTAAACAGAATGAGACCTCCAATCCGTGGTTGCCGTTTGTTTCGTTCTTTATTTTACCAGGATCCACACCTGAGACCAAGTATGACCATGTTCCTCGCCTGTACCTCGTCTGTTCTGTCAATATGATTTGAGTTGTCTGGATCTCTATAATGGGCCTCCCTTTGTTCGCTTTTCTTGTCTGCTCTGTACCACCACTTGTGTTAGTTATAGTCTATCTTTTGTCGTGAATTATTTTGGTCCGTGTCAGCACGAAAATATAACCAAGCTAGCAACTGAGGTCGCATTGCAGTCCCAGTGAACATGCATCGTTTTACAAACCCATTTGCAATTTTTGGAGTTTTTTCTTACGTTCCGAAATTCTACTCCTACAAGGATATGCTCCAAAATACCCCTGACGTCAGTTTCATTGATTACATTTCCGATCGAACTCTGGCACGTGGTATGAGGTTGCACTCTGGTGAGCTCGGTTAACATAATGGCAAGGCGTCCTAATCGGGTGGTTGCGAACTTGTGTTGATGTGACGTGGTATGCATCTTGAGCCCATCATTTAACACCCCCCCCCTGTTCTGGTGCAATTATCTAATTATTTACCGCGGAGTCCGAGACGATCTTAGCATACCAATCGTCCCAACAAAGTTCGTTACATCATCTGTTCTACTTGGATGGAGCCAGCCATGAGAACGCGCGTGCCGCAATGGTAAGCACAAAAGCTGGCTTCCATCAAAATGTTCTGTCAGCAATCCGGTTGGTCTGCCGTCACTCCTTTTACTCTCCTGTACATACAGACCTTGGATAAAGGATGATTTCCGCTGAAAGTTTGTCAGTATTTCGTCCTCAAAGATCCAGTATCACCTTTTGGTTTGAGTGATCAAACTGTGCGAATGGCCTGACGACCACGTGATGATATTAGGAAAAAGCAGCTCAAAGAACTGAAACGATCCGCGGATCAGCGACCGACCATGTGATCCGGCTTTTTGCCAGTGTCGATCAGTCAGTCCGTACAGACCGGCGGTCATTCGCAGAAAAATAATAGAAAAATTGGAAAAATCCAACTTGTTTGTCGCATACCGCTCACCTGAACCAGTAGACCAGCAGTTCTGGAAACTCCATAACTGTAGATTGTTTGAGAAAGAATACTCAAAGGTCCAAACCCATAGATGGACTGTTCACCGAATGCCGAGGTATTCCCCACCAATGTAAGCGTGGGGTCCATCAGGCTCACAACAGCAAAACGATAACCCAAACTTGTCAGTGTCAAGTCGACCAGTGACAGCTGTTCATCGGACTTGAAATCATTACTTGCGGTCATGATAGGCAAGAGTTGGGATGTGCATCGTGGAGGTGCGTTTCCAAACTGATTGCTGAACGACACGTGTTCACAAAGGTAGCCAGTCACCGAACCACGCATGCGCTTGCGTATCTCCTCATAGAATGGTTGGTGAACTGAAAACAGATGGAATGCGAACAGATGTGAGTGAAACCCAAAAAAAAGTCGGCATTTCAGGCGATGAAAAGAAATGTCTGCAGGTGCATCGCTCCCATCATGATCATGACGGCATATAAAGCTGGCCAGAAACCACACTTTTAGATTTATTGAAAACAGATAGAAATGTTACAACAAGAGTCTTTTTACTGTTCGCCGTAAATTTTTTCGTTTTCTGTTTGATTTGGACTAACTTGTGGTTTGTTAAAACATTCACCCGTTTTGGAATTCTCAACTCTGCCAATACGTAGATGCGGTTTGGAACGCATCACTGACACAGATATAATAATGCCGTACAAAACTGTCCCAAATACAAGATTCCAAAAAGTTTGGAAATCAAGGGACTGACTGAGACATCTTCTGGTGGACTTTGGTAGTTTCTGACCAGGCTTCGGCATACTGATGGTATTGCAGCTCTCATGGTTCATTCGGGTGGCATGGTTCTTTGCACCAAGAAGATCTCATACTGACAAATAAATACTCAGTAAGAAGAAACTACTAGTGGCATTCGTCTGACGATGCGCTATTCTGGGGTTTTGCGGGCGTTTGAACGGCCGTGTTCCTGTTCTGGTGCAATTATTCCGGTGAGTCCGCACCGAAGAGAAGGACTGGACTCAAGTTTCGCTCTTATTAGAGCTCATCAGCAGTGCATATCCAATGGCCGTGTCGGGATTGGAACACCGGACATCTGACATGCGAGGCGAGCGTGTAACTACTACTCAACCAATGCACGTTGGACGCACTTGAATTATCACGTCTGAACAGGCGAACGTGTTCACACTTGAGCGCTATTCAGGATCGGTCAATTGAACCGCATTACTGAAGGATGTATCAGGTGTATCAGCTAAATAGTACCTGTGTACGGGCTAATCACTTTGTCAATCAGATGACAGCTTTCACTTCATAAACGGATTGTCACTCGCCAAATGCACACTGGAGGTGATTCTCAGCTGATTCTCGTGTTTTCAGTATAGGTTGACCCCAAGAGGGAGATTCAAACTCACAAGCCAAGTTAGTAGTTGAAAGCCAAGCCGTTCGACCTCGACTGGCCGATCAGCTGCGTGACCAGCTCGCACTTGGACTGGACAGAGTGCCACTCATGCTTCAGTTACGGCGTTCACGTCACGTGGTGATGATTTCAGTGGCGCCTTGAGTGATAACTTCTCAGATGGATGACTGATTCTATGTGTGGATTATTCTCATCCTGACCTGGGGCACCCTTGCTCTACTTAGCTGCCATGAGGCGCGAAATAAGAACGGGGACTGAGATACTCCCTGGTTGTCCAAGCCTAGACAGGGCCTGTCGAATCGGTTGGGTTCGAACAATGAACCTTGCAAACAGTGGTTTCGCGCCTCAGTGACTGAGCTACCTAGGGCGGGATAAAGTTCAAAACTTCCTTTCTGTCTGCACAATTCAGACTGCGGTTGGTAAGACGATGCATCCTTTTAATACCAGGCGAACCCGCCAATCGATTGAACCTCAAACTCACGTGGGTGGCATAACTGCTGCTTTTGGAAGCAAAGTGAAACGATGTGCCACATTTGGACTTATTTGACAAAATTCCCGCTTTAGCTCGTTATCCGATGAAACCCTTTTGACTTGTTTTGAAAATGGCGGATGTTTCAGCTGAGAGGATAATATACGTAGTGCATCAGGGACAATGCTGTCTGTGATCAGTGAGTGAACGACTGCTAGGGTAGTATAGGTGAAACAATCAACGAAATGACGGCCAGACCAAAAACTGACTACGAAAGAGACATCATAGCACAATGTGTAGCTGGAACCCCGGGGGCTTTGCATGATAAAAGTCGACACTGGTTTGGGATGATGGCTCGTGTGCATTCGTTGGTAGTTGCCCAGATGGTTCGTCTGCTCGCTGGACTAAGCACTTGACTTGTAAGCGATTCGAATAGACACCATCAGTGCGCGTGGCTGGGTAGTATTGTCCCTCTTCTAAATATCACCTATGTAGTTTGTTTAGATAGTCCATAGTTTACAACCTATGTGAGCGCAAGCACTGCCCTGCACCCGCGCACTGATGATGTCTCCTCAGAGAGGGATAAAACGTTTTCTCGTTAATTGACAAGCTCATCAAACATACAGACAGCTACAAATCACAACTAATGGAAAATTCACAGATCCGAGTCGGTTTTCCCCCGGCTTTTCCTTGTTTGACTTTACGGTCAACTCGGACTTATGCGTCTTTGGATTTCTTGCTCATGATTCGTGGATAGGCCTTCCCAAAACTGCCTGTGATCAGCTCACAGTTGTATCGATTTTTATGTGGAATGGTTGCACATTCAATAAACAGTCATAATAATTGCCACAGACATTCACTCACCCCAACCGATGCTGTTTGAACCAGAAGAAACCAAGTGTAGGTCCTCGATTATCCACGGACCTCTCATGTTTGTCCGTTGGCAATCCCTGGATCGTTCATCACCACGTGCGAATGTGCAAGCGAGAATTCTTCGTGCGTCCAGTCTCGATGGATTCATTTTTCTCCTGGTTGTATAAGCCCTGTGACAAATCGCGCGAGCTAGTTGTGTCTTTCCGCTAGCCTGCGGTCCGTAGATCAGCACCGGTCGCCCAGATTCGGCGTACAAGTGCCCGACCAGTAGCTGAGGGTATAGCTTGAAAGAATAAACCGGAGACTGGTACTGGTTCTGTAAGTTATGCTTGTATTGTCTTGAACACACCCTTAAAAAGCGTCTACAAACTGAATGACTGTGCTACGTACTACACATTCTTGCGGATCAGTGGACAATCCTTTCCCCGCAGCGTTTGCTTTCCCTGGCTGCCTTGCCTCAACATGATTTGCAACACAATACTCCTCCTGAAGAAGTCCTTCAGAAAGAAATAATTTTGGCAGCATTCCTCCTTCAACGCTACAAACATCCAGGAACAAAGAGAGGAAGATCTCTGGGTCCTCTCCTGTTGAACAAGCTCTCTAAGAGGAAAAGCTTTGTCAAACTGTGAAGTCAGGAAGGCCCGAAGACATTAGCCCACTACATCATCATCCTCGGCTTGAACGGATTCGATTGACAAATAAACTCTGCAGCATACCACAGTAATCATGCTTATCTTAGATCGTAAGACCTGGATACGATCATAATCTAATCACCATGATGCACAGGACGTGTAGTACGATTTGCATTAGTCCTAAGAAGTGTCTCCCAAGAGGAGAGCATGACACACTGATCACAAGGTTGCTGAGAACTCTCAGACTGCGGTCTTTTACTTTGTTTAAGTTCACTCAGCGGATGACGTACAAGCCCAAGTTAAAACAAGCATGGGATATCAATGTGTCCAAATATTGGAAACTCGGGTGTGCCTGCTGGTGGTTGGTCAGATCGCCGTTGATATGTTCGCCGAACTTGGATTATAAACGTTACGTTCACAGGAGATCTGGTTAGTGCCTAGTTGCCTCCTTCGTGTTTAGCTGCGTTTGTATGACCTTCTTAGAGGGTGGTTGGTAGATCACCGTTGATATGTTCGCCGAACTTGGATTATAAACGTTACGTTCACAGGAGATCTGGTTAGTGCCTAGTTGCCTCCTTCGTGTTTAGCTGCGTTTGTATGACCTTTTTAGAGTATCTAAAATCCTGTCATGTGATTGGCTAGTTGGTATATACCTTTCTTGTAATATTATTAGCCCGTTCGCGATTTGCACTGCTTTGTTGCCCTATATCTCGTATTCCATTGGTTGTTTGGATAGTTTCAGGTTGGTTTCAGGTATTTCAGGTCTGTTTTCGATTGGTCCGTTCCCGGTTTGTGTTGCGTCGCCGTTTTCTTCCTCAACTTTGGTGATGGCGATTTCCATTCTTGTTGGTCATTTCCTTCATTCTGATTGGTCCGTTCTTAGATTGCATTGTAGTCTCACCTTCGACAATTTGATTGGCCGCTTGTAATCCTCCGTTTGATGCAGTTTCCGATCTCTTGTTGGCCGACTTGGTTGGAATTAAATGGTCAGTTTGTTGAGCTGCTCTTCTTCCTTCTTCAATTTGTCGGTCCGATGCTAGTCCGAAAAAGTGAATTGCTCCCCTAGATTTTTTTGTCTTGGTTTGTCTGCCTCTTCTATAGTGGTTCGCTCTGTCTTGTTGTGCAGCTTTGCGTTCCGTAGTTCTTTTGCTTGCAGTGGTTAACAGCCTGGGTAGACTTCGATGTGTTTTTTGACAGCTTCTTCAGTGGAGTGCCACGAATTCCGGCCTTTTTTGTTCTCCGTTCAGCTAATATGTGGACGGTCTTTCCAGATGAGTTTTTGTCCACCTTCGTTCACGGAGATGAGTGATAATTGGCCGTGCTTTTAAGTTTGTGTTCTGGTAGAGAGGTTGCTTCATCCTACTTGGTGTTTCTCACAATCTCTGCACTGAATCTTGTATAAGACGTTGATCTTCAATGTTGTGCCCAATCGTACCTTTGGATTTGACGGTGTTCTCCGTAGGGTGCTTGCGTGTTGGTGGGACAAGGTTGTGTTGTACTGTTGTGGCAGTCGTGCAGTCATTTCCGAAATGTTCCTAATGTATGTAAGCGCCACACGTTCACTTTCTCCTTGTGCCATTGAGTTGGCCGAAGTGGGTATTCTGTCAGATGAGATTTCTGTGGTATCCATTTATCTGAAAACCTCTCTAAAAGCGTTCCTCTCCTCTGACTTCTCACTCCGTGGTGTTGCTTGAAAAGAGTCTGGATACAGCTTTGCTTGCGACAGTCCGGATGACTGATGTGTTAGCTGAGAATTTAGTCTGTATGCGTTGCCTCTCTGTAGATTTCCGTCTGCAGTTGGATCAAATAATGGTTTCTTTCTATTCAGACTCACTTTTCACATCAGTAGGCCTGGATTCCGCCAAGAGAACTGTCGCCTAAACACGTGACAGACATGGCATACCACGGATTCCTGGAAAAAGAAGATCCCTGCGATTTGTTCAGCCTTGGCCTGACCACATACTTTGAGTTCAACGGAGAGTACTATGAACAAAGTCCAATTAACACCAACGAGATCTATTCCTGAATTTATTGCAGAAAGTGTAATGTAAAAACTGGAGCGAATTGTACTTCCGGACCTAAATCCCGTGATATGGACCCACTACTTGGATGATACTTTTGTCACCATCAAAAGGAATGGACTACAGGGAACAAGTCATTTAATGAACCGCATTTTTCTTGATATCCACTTCACAGTGGAAGATGAACCCGATGAAAAACTGACATTGTTGGGTGTCTTGATCACAAGCTTACCAAACGTGCAACCACAGACAGACGCCTGCGGAAAGACAATGCAAACAAATCAAATTCTCAGCTATCACAACCGACCTGTCACATCAAAATCGTGATCGGACCTATGAGATTACAGGGAAGGTATATACCAACTGGCCAATCACATGACAGATGTTAGATACTCTCTAAAGACTGCATAAACGCATCTAAGCACGGAGGAATCACCAACTCAGCTGCACACTGATGCTTTCTCTTCGACTGGGGACGAAACGTTTGCAAGCGAATTGCATGGGTATAACCCATGTGGGCCAGCGCAGAGAATCAAATGGCTGGCACCGCTTCAAGTCCGAGTCATGTCACATTCAGCTTACATCAACGGCATCCGCGTTGTTGGACTTCTACAACTGTGACATATCATACGACTGTGCCAGTTTAGCGGCACCTATATGGAAACGGTCTCCCCGATCTTCCCAGTGAAAGTATTTACGCATCCAGTGTATCAGCTACCGCCTTTAAGGCGCAGCCATCGACCCCACCTCCCCAGATCATCGGTGAGTGAAACCGTTTTATCGGACTGCTGTCCCCGCTACAGTGTCTAGTGCGGGAAAAAAGACGCGGACAAGGAACACAACAGCTTTATTCCGAACAAGCGAGTGAGTGCGAAAAGCACAATGGTCTGGCTATATATATCCAGGGGGCAGTGTCTGACTTTGATTCAATACTATTTGATCGGCGCTTAGTGGAGTTTGAGGGTTGTTGATACCTTTCTTCTATATTTATGTTGTACAATGCAATTCCCATCTTGTTATTTCGGTTTTGCGCCTATGCCCCCTTTCTTGTTTCTGACCTGAACATAAACCGTTCTTTGACCTTGTCATCGGACGTGTTGTTTAAGTCAACACGTAGTTTAGCTACCTTGCAAACACGGAAAATTAAGTCGATGTGAACTTTGGGATCTGTCAGGAATTAGCAGTTCCTAAACCGGTGTATAGACGACGACATAGTCCCACGATGTGAGGTTTGTAAAGTTATATCACTTCATTATTGTATTGTACTTATAGTAACGCATTTGTAGATAAACCTCCATTTGAAAGATTTGGTTTTTTGGGGTTGTGTGCGCTACTCAACGTGGTCCAACAGATTGCTGGAAAAAATCTACAAGGTTGCCCTTGGATATTCTTCAGGAATTTGACCTTTCTGATAGAAACTGTGACAGTTGTAACCACTATATGGCAAGCACACGGATTTTACAGCTGATGGTGATGGTGATGATGATGATGATGACGCAAGACACTTCCAATCAAACTCATCCTCCCCAGTCCTCCATTTAGTTAATGGTACAGATAGTTTTCAAAATGAACAGACGATGCGATCGGTGGCATTGCAAAACCAAGAAAATCCTTCCTTTCTAACAGCTTGACTAGGATTATATTTGCAAAAATCAATAAGACCTTGAGTGATATTCAGCCTATACCTTCTTTCCCCGGGGTTTCAGTATTGGATACGAAAACTCGTGTAAACTGGGACAATGTTGCAGAGAACAGGGACGTAGATGAATACATCCCGGTTTTGTGATTATGACACTCAAAACAGGCATTGCCAGGATCCACTCCCAGAGAATCTTTCAAATTCATTAGACATCAGAGGAAGCCGTTATCTTGCTAAAGCTCATTAGCTATTGGTAACTCTTTCCTGTCTGTTTTTTTTTGGACATCAACAGAACTCAAAATTAGAGCATTAGACACACCAATATGGGCTTTTCCAAATATGACGGTGCGAACTTACATGATACAATGTTGGTAGAAACCTTCTTGAATTTTCCTTAGTCTGTCTGCTGTCCGGATGGCTAGGCACGTCGAATTCTTCCGGCCAATAGTCTTCCATAAATTCTGGGTGGTGCCAAAAAGGCACCAGACAGGCTGACGTCGGGTCCACAATGTAATTGTATATCCCGACGTCCCACCCTGAACCGCTCTTTGTTGTCAACAGTGCTATGAAGCCAACTGTTGGGGTCCATCTGGTCAGCAATATCCGATTCGATCGGATAAAAATCGGTCAAGTAGGGCTGATTATCCGGGGGGAAATAACTTGGAACAGCTTGGATTCTGTGTGGAGACGGAGAATCCGTATCCAAGAACTGGTTCAACAGGTCGCCGACAAGTGCTTGGAATCTGAAATGGAAATTGCTTGTGGTGAAGGAAACGCGGGTGAAACTGCCTGATATTGAGGCGTCCCTAGGTAAGTGCTTTCAGGTACTCTCGTACCAATGCAAATTGTCTTCAAAGGTAAATATCGGCTTACCAACAGAGAAACCAAGTCAACAGAAATGACCGAAGGCACAATCTAATCATTCGTAACTCAGGTGCATTGTGCCAAGGCTTCGGGGTCTAAGCAATCGTTGTAATTACGCAGAGAGGGACACCTGTCGAATGCCATGTTCAAACGCAGAATCGGGAATTCAGGTCGAACGGACGGAAAACAAAGTCGGAATACGATAGCGGAAGAATCAATCACTTGGCCGAACGGTCTTGATCGAATGGTTTAGTTTTCAGCTACTGAACATTCCACAGACTCAACAGATCAGCACTACTAGCGATCCATAACAAGGATGAAACAGGCACACGGTGCCGCTCTGCAGGGTAGGTGTCTGAGGCCTGGGTGCGTTTCTTTAGGGGTTGTTTGAGAGGGGCCAAATAAAGAAGGACTAAACTCACAGCAATCCTTCCGCCCTGGTGTGTACCTTTCCGCCTGTCATCAGCAATTTGAGGAAATGAATTGCTTAAGGAGATTCAGCTGAGTTCCAGCTGATGAGTATATAAGTCATATTTCGTACCGTTTGTGTTCATTTACAAGGTAAGGTTTATGAAAACTCGGGGATCACATCTGTCTGATGAGCAACAAGAAGGGCGAGACCGGTAGTGGGTTGTTGAAGAGTTTTAAGCAACCTAATAAGTAGTGTGTTACGTCTATAGGATGGTACTAAAATTCGCTGAGCTAGTTTTTACACGGACAGAGATGAATAATGAGCATCTGTTTGCCCAAATCTGAGAAGTGACGATTACACAAGCATCAAGGCCAGTCAAGAGAACAGGAACTTACTTTGTGCGCAACCTTGGGTCACCAGCAAAGCGCCCTCCGACACCCCATATGAAAGCGAACACAAAGAAATACTTGATCAACTGTGAATGAAATTCGACACGATCTTCAGGCCGTCTCCAACTCGGCCAGTGTCGGTTAATCCGGCGATGCACAGATTGATACTGCCGTGCTGTAAAGAACAAATAAGAGAATAATGAATATGTATAGTTCTATCATTAACCGCAACAAAGATTGCCCTGAGCAGTTGTCAAATCAACTACTGGTAACGATGACTTTTTCCCAATTACAAATCATGTAGCTCCTCCTTTCGGATAACTCTAGCAAACCAATCAGTTACAATCGAGTAGTGTGAGTCTACTGAATCTTGAGGAAAATTCAAAAGCGAAACCCTCCTAACAGAAACTGCCTTCATGTTTCGGGTGGTCTGTCAGTAGCGTGAATAACATGCAATCAGACGCAATCAAGCTCCAACCACACGTATTCCGTCCACGTGACCTTGTCAGTTTACACAAGATCACCTGATACGAACTGCATGAGTGACACTATCTTGTCTAAGTGCAGTTATTCCACATTTTTCGTTGCTCATCAGTGGTCGGATGCTATGAAACCTCATGACAAATCCGGATAGAACAGATGCACGGCATTTTTAGACTTTCCTGAGTAAATAACCTGGTTGTTCGAAAAAAAACCGCTAAGAAAAATGTGCTCTGCAAAAAAACAGCTGTTAAGCTCACGTGGACAATGACCAATTTTCCTCCACTCCCACACGTCACGCGGAAAGAATCGTTCAAGCAGGCTATCTAGCAAACTCAAAACGTTGGAGGTGCACTGTTGCTCAAACGCTGGTTTCTGGTGGACCCCGATGATGCTCTGTTGTTTGTCGGTAGAATAACAGTCAGCCACGAGTTGGAATGTACTGAGTATTCCTTTTGCCAAGCAGGTCTCCATTTTGTCTACAAGCACAGGCCACCTAAATTGAAAAGATAACGTGACAGAGTTGGGAGGGTCTACTTAGCCGAACACAGCCGTCAGACTGGACGGCTACAACTCATTTTAGCCAAACAACACGTGACCAAGTGATGTCAACTTATCGATCACAGGAGAAATGGAGCTGTATCCTACCTAAGTGTGTTGTAGCTTGGTGAACGGTAGTGCAACTCTGTAGCGGTCCCTTGGCTTCCTTGCTCCGCCCACTATCGTATATCAAAAGGCACGGTAGCTCTACACAGTCCTTTATGGAGACAAAGGAAAATTATTACAACTGTATTTATGGGGTAGTCACAGAGTGTTCCACAAGGTCGTGCCAGAATCTCCGTGAGGGGACGAGAAGTGCCGAGTCAAAGGTGCTTGACTCGGATTGGCTGGCATTCTGACCAATCAGGGCATGCCTTCGTCTGACCCATGTCCTGCACGTGACATCCGTCCAAATGATGTGATGTTCGGTTATTAGGGACGGCTGGCCCCCGAACACCTCCCCCGAATACAACGGTGTTCAACTCCTAACTGGAAGGCCGCGGGTTCTAGTAGCCATGGAGTTTCGTGAGTGAGAATGACTCCAAACCAGGAGAAAAAACCAAGTGGCTGTTGAACATGGACTGATTCCATGTAATTGCTCCAAACCATCCAACTATAACGAAGTATAATTCTACTTTCCTGCCATCATCGTCATCGACAGCATGACATCAGTGTTCAACACCGATGCTTCACTACCGTACAACCATGATTTATTTGAAATCCTTATTGTAAAGAAAAGATTAAAGGTGGACGGGGAAGGGACTTAGTGCTAGCCTAGAAAAATCATTCCGCGGTGCCTATATCCCTGGATAGGTAATCTGGATAGAACCTGACAACAAGGACGCCACTGACATCGTTCGACAGCCATATCTTATAGTGTTTCCAACCAGGCACAGGCACGCGGTCCCCATCCTGGAAGGTGAGTAGCACCAACAGCACCCAAGTGTTTTCCAGATCTCCTTCATACTTAATGACCCAAGGTTATCAGTCCCCTCTGTGGATGGGCACTCATCGGAAGGGTGTGACTATGGCACGCGGACTATTCACGCGAGAGCAAAGCAAACAGATATCGACCATTAATGCGGCGATAACCGAAGTATCCTCCCAGTGGGTAACTAGTTTCGTCAGTTGGCAAAACTACACTAATTTGCAAATCAATTTGGTTTTCTCGATGGACTCAACTGAATCTCTCGTTTCCAGGCAACTGAACGTGCTGCACCAGGCCGCCTCATGTTTCATTTGCTACGATATTTGAGTTATCGCGATGCATGTATATTTGTAATGCACTACTTTTAAGGTTGCTGAATTTTCAACAACCTCATGAGTAGTTCATTGCAAATATATCAGTCTGAGCCGTCCTCGTGATTGCGTGCTCTATGTGCAACTCAGTGTGCAATGAACAAAACTCACTCTTGTTTTGGCAACGCAAAACGTCTCACGGCAGCTTGACACCACGTTCTCCACCTGTGCCTCCAGCTGACGACTTCTGAATCCATGGAAAAGATGGCAAATCGATGCAAAACTGCGGGGGATATGTCGTCAACATGGGTTTTTTCCAGAAGGAATCTGCGATCTGATGGAAAATCCAGGAGGGGAATAATTCGAATGAAACAACCCGGTAAAAAGGTGAAATGCAAAGCAAAACGACGCTTTGGATGCTTGTTCAACAGCCATCAACAACGACCAATGGCTCAGGGAGTTCCTGACGAACATGCTAACCGTATCCGTTCGTGCCGTTGGAATACTGAGGTTTGTGGGCTCAAGGTGGCTCAGTGAGTAAGGCGCCAGCTTTTGCACCGGAAGTTTCGAGCCAAACCTCAGCATCTCGACTGCTCTGGGCAACCTGACAGTATCCCAATCCTCAGGTACCGAAAAGGTGCTACAGCTGAACGGCATTACTGAGGTTTGTAAAGTACCCAACAATCAGTCCGGTATGCAAACTGTCAGACGTCAAGCCCACCTCGATCGCAGCATTCAGCAGAATCTGATGTATTAATTCAGTAACCAGACGTTTAATCATCCCAATAACCAGCCAAATAAACTTCCCAGTATAAATTTACTCACTCGGGTCCTTCAGAGATTTAACTGTCGATAGAATCTGTTGATTGACATTCGGACTGAAACTGTCCCCAAGATCCATGTATACCCACTCTTTACAGTCGTGTAGAATAGGTTCGTCCAGCGTGGAACTGTGGATTCCTGCATCAATTTGACAAACTTTTACTGGACCAGCGGATTGAAGTGGACAATTCCCGAGATCTGTGAATCGTTGTCGCTCCAACCATTCTCGAAATGAACGCGGCATTGTTGTGTCTAAATAATTTTTCAAAGTATTTGCGTCAACCGAACGAATTTCATCGTCCACTGTTCTCACCGGTACTTTGGAGAAATAGTTTGTGGAACTGTTTATCGATCCGGCTAGAAGCGCAAGGGTTGTAGATTTTCCGGAACCAACACTTCCAAGGATGAGTATCGGACGTTTTTCAAGAATCAAATTTCCCAGTTCAAGGACCTAGAGAACAAAGTAAACATCACGTGACATCATTTCAGATATTGCCACCGTTTTTATGCCATTTCTACGCATTTAGGATGACGCTCTCATCCACCGCTGCCTTCTGATTCATTTGAAAAAAATCCTAATTCAATTCCGCTATACTGTTTTTTCATCGCTAGCAGGAACCAAACCATAGTGCCATTGGTGTCCACACATTCTGCGTCAATGCGTCAGCTTACCTTTCCACCGGGCGACAGAAGCAAACTGGCTTGCTACAGACCATAATCGGTGATCCTTGACGGTGCGAGGGTTGCAACTCCGGACATCTGACAAACGCGTTACCATAACTCCTCAGGACAAACGAAGTCACGCTGGAGTGATGTGATCGGCTTTTTCAGCACTTCAGATAAAAACTAAATAGAACATAAGGTTGACGGAAACTCGGGGACTGCGCCTACCTGATGAGCCTTAATAAGGGCGAAACCTGTCGTGGGCTGTCCAGGGAATTTTTGCAACCTTATTAGTAGTGCATTATGAAGACTAAGCAGTTTTCCTAGCTTTGTAAGTGAGTTGAAGCGCATATCAGGACCTCCGATTCAGACGTTGCCGCGGGCCGGTGAAACCTGAGTGAACGCGTCCACTTTTGTATAAGTGGCAAAATGAGGTGCACCGAGCATGCACCGATAAAGCGTTGGCATTGCAGATCAGATATCAGGAGTTTAAGCCCTGGAATGCACTGTCGGTGAGCTCTGATTAGAGCGAAACTCAGGTTTAACAGCCCCCTCTCCACAATGGAACAACCGGGGTTGCTGAAACAAGGTCTGCGTGAATGAGAACTCCAAGGCGCCTGCAACTCCCTACATTTGATTATGTGAGTCAGTCTACAGAAATCAACCGGAGTTTCTGCTCTGTTCGGCAAAACATTGTCTGAGAACTGTTGTTGCTCCCGTGCTCCAAACAGACTATTCAAACGAGTCCATTCGCTACCTAGGCAAAATGATCAATAATTATTGACCGTGAAGATTTCAGTTGAGGTGGGACAAGCCATTTCATCCGAATGGATTTGGTCGTACTAATCAATATCGGCTACGTCATATTCCTCTTTCAAAACGGATTGGGCTCCTGTGACGAGGATGACCATTGCAGGTGGCCAAATGCGAGCTGTTCGACAAGCAGAAAGTGGTTCGACACCACAGCCTGCATATTGGGGACGAATTAAAAACGGTCAGTTTTAGGTACTACTATCTAAGTGACAACAAACTAGCCACTCGTTACTCAATGGTATTGTCTAAATTCCTGTCTGGATCGCTTAACAGCTCTCTAAGGTGTTGGCCCTAGCAAACACGAAGCGGATAATTAGTACCCTTTGGCTTCTTTACACAGGTTAAATTCGCCTGTAGTATCGAAACAAGACGTAAAACTTCCCCGACTGAGTACGAGACGTGAATCTCTCAGTCAGTGGTTTTGTGCCCTAGAGACTGAGCTCAAGCCCCGAAATAATTGATACAAATTGATGCAAGAAATGCCTTAAATCTTTCTATTGTTCGCGCATCAACAAAGTACTACCGTCGAAGATAGAAACGTCATCAATCAATTATTTCAAGTGGCGAACACGACACTCACTGCCATACTACTAAGGATGTATTTAATGCAACAAAAAATCCACCAGTCTCACCTTTTCTACTTGCCGTTCAACAACACATAGTCCTTTCAAGGAAATTTGCTGTAAGATGCTGTATACAAACCTAGTCGAAACATTTGAAATGGGTCGGTCTGTTTCCGTGGCGTGAAACTCTTCGAAACCACGTAAAAAATGTGCCCGCATTGATAGAATTCTTTCTTCTCCCAGAGTCGTCCGTCTCACCATGCTAGAAGGCTTTTCACAGCTGGAGAAGGGTCCACTCCATGCTTGTATAAATCCGTAAACAATCGCCTGTTCTGCCAGTTGGTCCTCCTCTCCCCGGTGCACCAAGCTGGATTGCAGGCTCTTCTGAGGACGGTCTTCAATCAGTTTCCGAAATGTCTTGTTCCACCACCGGTATGCATATGTCATGGCAGCGCATACAAGTGGCCAAGACAAAATGCTGTTGATGGTGGGTGTGGAGCTCCTGGGGTTCCATGGTACGTGAGCGATCTCCAACATGTGTTTTAGACGAGATCTTACTCGGGTTCCTCTGTAACCCGGGAGATAGTTTGCGCAAATGCAGTCGACAGTAAAAGTCCATTCAGGGACATTCATCTGCGCAATTCGCAGTTGCTTCTAGGGAGAACAGAATGAATGACAACCAGCCGGTTTTAAAGAAGTTGAGTGCAAGAGATTTTAAACGAAATCAGTGGGAAACTTCTTGGAACCTAGTCAGGTGAATGGGTGCTGGACGCGAGGAGGAAGGCTTCGAAAGTGATTATACTTGTTATCAAGGCATGCGTACATACGTAGGGGATTCGCTGTCAAAGCGTAAAAGTTAAAAAAAAGCCAAATCAAGCGAAGAAAGGGTGGGACACTTCGTTCTCGGTACATTCTTACATTCGTTTAGTGATAAACCTCGCCATAGATGCTAGGTTGTCCCTGTAGCTGAACTGTTTATCTTAGGTTGAAGCAACTAACATGGTCCGTTTCCGGTACTTTTTGCACTCGACCAAATTGACGGACTCGGACGTATACTGTATACTTACCTACATCCGTTCAGAACGACGTACATGCTGCTGGTTAGTGCCAGTTTGACGTATATATTATGCTACTTATTAATGTTGTAAGTAATATCTGTTTTCAGTTTTCAAAACCAGCACGCAGATGAACTGAAAAGTATTTGTCTACTAGAATGCGTTTTTGGTTGATTTCAAACAAATATACGAAGCCCAATAAGTCTAGAATTATGATAAAGAAAGAAACCTACCCTTTCAACTTCGCGTAAAAGGGACTTTGGATTTGGTGTCCAAATTCCGAAAAAAGGTCGCTAATGGGTGACTTCTTTCTTTCGCCAGTGGCTTATGGTAAAGACATTTAATTGAGGTTTGAACACACCAGTCAGCTGCCTCGAACAGGTTGTAGAAAGTTAGCTGACAAGGACGCTAGCCATCGGACAACCAGTACAGGTCGGTTTATCCAAAGTTTGCCCAGTCCCGTTTTTTTATCACAGTATCTGTCAACTTTGTTGCAGGCATTTGGCATGTCTCAAACCTCTAGCCTACAAGACGACCAATTAAGGCGGAAGACCAGCCAACGTTGTGAAAATGGTGATCTAATCGCTCATTTCTGTGAGACGATCAATCGGTTACTGTTCGGGAGCCAGCCGTCCCTATCACACTGATCTAATCATTTCTGTGAGACGATCAATCGGTTACTGTTCGGGAGCCAGCCGTCCCTATCACATCATTTGGACGGATATGTCACGTGCGTGCAACCCACGATGTAATTTCGCCAGAGCAACTCCAATTAATTTTACAGCAACAACAGAAGCAGTTCGAAGAAGCTCAAATGAGGCTTGTTGAATTCCTGATGCGCAGTATGTCGGTGAATGCGACAAAAACGGTTGAGCCTCCATCTTCTTCCGCAGATGCTGCTGCCAGCTCAATTACCGAAATCAATTTTGATGCTCAATCTGGACGAACTTTCGAAAGTTGGTTCAAGAAATATGAAGACATGTTTCAAACCGACTTTGCTCAGTTTGATGATGCGTGGAAAGTTCGTCTGTTGCTGCGGAAACTGGGGACAGCTGAACACGATCGGTTCACAAATTTCATTCTCCCCAAACTCCCTCGTGACCTTGGTTTCGCAGATGCTGTCAAAATTCTGGCCCAAATATTCGGTGAGCAAAGTTCCTTGTTCAATATTCGTTATCAGTGTCTCAAGATTACCAAAAGGGATACTGAGGATTTCATCACATATGCCGGTGTGGTCAACAGAGAATGCGAGCGCTTTCAGCTCAGCTCCATGACCGAGGATCAATTCAAGTGTCTCATCTTTGTGGCTGGTCTTCAATCACCACACGATGCAGATATTCGGACCCGGCTACTGAATCGAATTGAACAGGATCCAGAGTTGACGCTTCAGAAACTTACCACCGAATGCCAGCATCTTATCAATCTCAAGGCTGATGCTGCCATGATTGGACATTCCAAATTATCTCAGCCGGATATGGTATGCAAAGTAACTTCCAAAAGGAAGTCAAGTTCAAAACGAACTCCAAGAAAACCGCCCACACCCTGTTGGTTTTGTGAAGAATGGCACTATTCACGCCACTGTCCCTACCGGAACCACAGGTGCAGTAAGTGCAGTCGAAAGGGTCACAAAGAAGAATGCTGCAGAGACAACTTCAGGAGCTCGCGCAAACACCGACCCGACAAAAGGACGCAGGCAGAGGCTGTGACCGCCACATTCAGGATGAAATCACCTGGTCGACGTAAATTTGTCACATTATGTATCAATGGCACACCAGTTACTCTCCAACTGGATACAGGTTCTGACCTCACTCTGATTTCAAAACGAACCTGGAACGAAATTGGAAGGCCACCAGTGGAACCCACAAAGTGCATCGTTCGTAATGCATCTGGTGGAAGCCTCAAACTGACCGGGAAGCTGAACTGTTCCGTAACGTTCAAGGGAATTCATCTCAGTGGCACTTGTTACCTCACGAACTACACAGGCCTTGATCTCTTGGGCCTGGATTGGATTAATGAGCTTCAACTGTTGGATGAACCCCTCAATGCCGTTTGTGACGAAACAACTGCAAACGGCCCCGATACGTTCACGAGAACATCACGTCCTGACGATTTTGTGGTCGCTACAGTTGCAGCCAAACCGGAGACCAGATGGAGCATACGCGACACAGCGACTATTCAGCTTCTGGCGTCCGGCAGCGGTAGCCCTCTCACCTCAGTGCAATTTGGTGAACCCTCCCAGCAGCCCGCAACGTTTCACCCGCGATCTGAACCGTTCAGTTTACAGTCGCAGGTTCAGGCGGATCGTCCTACTGCTATCCGGAAAGTCAAGGAAGTGGGGCCGGCAGAAGGGACGCCACAACAGTCACACAGAGACCAGCCACCGATTCAAATATATGAGGAATGCTCTCCACGGTGGACGCAGGGTCGACGATGTCAAACACGAGGCACACGTAAGAACATCAGCACATCCGCGTCAAGTGAACCAACTTCAGGCAACAGACTGCGGTCTGGTGAGGGGACCACGTCGCATTGGAAACCGGACAGCCGTGACATACCTCCCAAGTGGAGGGTACCGGATTCCAGATCAGCATGCTGGCAGCCCCAGGGACGGACCGACGTGCGACAGAACCTCCATGAGTCATCACAGTGGAGTCCAAAGCAGCAGTCGGTTGGACAGCCCTCTCAAGGGGGAGGTGTTCGGGGGCCAGCCGTCCCTAATAACCGAACAGCACATCATTTGGACGGATGTGTCACGTGCAGGACACGGGCCAGACGAAGGCATGCCCTGATTGGTCAGAATGCCAGCCAATCCGAGTCAAGCACCTTGACTCGACGCTTCTCGCCCCCTCACGGAGATTCTGGCACGACCTTGTGGAACACTCTGTGACAACCCTATAAATACAGTTGTAATAATTTTCCTTTGTCTCCATAAAGGGCTGTGTAGAGCTACCGTGCCTTTTGATATACGATAGTGGGCGGAGCAAGGAAGCCAAAGGACCGATAGAGAGTTGCACGATCGTCCACCAAGCTACAACAGTTACTCCAGAGAAACGCTAATGGACAACATCACAGTAAAGTTTCCTCTGAAGAGTAAAGGTAATTTGATAAAGAAAACTACTCCTAAGGTTGCTGAAAACTCTTCGACAGCCTACGACTGGTTCCGCCCTTCTTGGAGCCCATCAAGTAGGCACAGTCCCCGACTTTCCATCAAACTTATAATCTACGTGAACCCAAACTGGACTGTTTTCGAGAAATACACTCATTTTGCAAATCAATTTGGTTTTGAGCTAATTTGAATATCTCGGCAACCAGGGTCTATCATGCGTTTGATTCTCTGAGGGTCGTTTAGTGGTTGTTCTCGAAGCAGGGTTTCTCATGAGAATGCTTCAGAACTACGCCCGATCGTTCCACCCGTCGCAAGGCTCTCAAATACGCAGTGCTAACACGCGCTCCCAAAGCACTGCAAAACCATTCAGAATACCGCTCAGTGGCAAATTCAGTGAGCAGTCGATTTTTCCCCAACGTTCAATTTCCTACCACAATGAAATTGCGCTAAATATGACTAACTTTCTACGGGGCAGTTGTTCTTTAACCGGCGTACGCCGGAAGAAAGAAGCTATGAAGTTTTACACCTAAACGCTAATTTTCAGGCTGGGGATATGCCAGGGTGAAACTCACATGAATCTCTGATTCTCTATGTGTTTTTCACTGAATCCGTTGTGCAGAATGCCTCTACATGGTTCAGACAGTCCACTATTCAAGACGTCGGTGTCAATTGACTGATACCTGTAGGAATGTGTTCACCTCGGCACTCATCAGCAAGGTGTTAACACTCCACACCGTCCACTTAGAGACATGTAATTCCGTGAGCCCTAGAGTACGTTTGAACCGTAGCTTGTTATGGACTCGCTAGCACCCACTTTATGAGTAGTATGGAAAATCGTTCTGATGTATATCAGAGTGAGAAAAGGCATTCTCAAGACAACGGAGTGTTGGACTGCATGCAATGCGCTACACATGAATCCCGTGAAGCAGGGTGGGAAAAAATCGATCAATGGCTAACGTGTGAACAGTACAGCCGTATACTGATAAAGTTAGTCGCTCACTTTCTGGTGCCTTGCTGTCATGCCATTCGAATAGAGCAAAAGGATTTGTATACTGCCAGGCTGTCAAGGTCTAGACAAGGGAAGTCGAGAGGCGGAGGTTTGGTTCGAACCACAGGTTTTCGGGTCAGTAAATTCGGGCTCTAACCACTGAATCATCTCCCCCCCCCCCCCCTCAATAGCGATATCTTATTTATCTGGATTACATTTTCCAGATATAAATTGATGAACCCGTGCTGTCGTTTTCCCGAAATGAGGTCCTATATTACTGACCCGGTGAATTCGATTAATAAAAGCCTCATATGGAACTTTTGGAGAATCACATCGACAGAGGGGAAAACACTTACTCGTAGCGAGTCAGGGATATTGGAAATTTTGTATTGGTCTCCAGTAAACATCAAACCGAATCCTGGTCTTATGGTAACCGAGCGATCGGAAACAGTGATTGTTTTCCATGAGCACTTCAACGGGTTAAATCCATCTGAGGCTGAAACAGAAAAGTCCAAGTGCCAGAAAAAGCTGACCAGCCTGAGGCTGAAATAGGAAAGTCCAAGTGCCAGAAAAAGCTGACCAGCTGTGTGTGTGTGACAAATCTTCCCGCTGGGAGACGTTTCTCTCAAGCACACATGTTGCGTAAGACTTAGCGGAAGGATATTAAAACATCACGAGTAGATGAACGTAGATGAAATGCATTCATAATTGGTCCCCTCTGCGAAACTCGCCCAAACTGGTCGAATGAAAAAGCGGACTATCCTTTTTGCGAAACAACCGAGAAAAAACGGGGAAAGGTTGTATCTTAAGAAAACATTTCATCACTTTCTTTGACGTAACTTTCTTTTTAAGTAACCCGAAATTTCAGGTTGTAGTTTTGTATCAAGAAACACAGCTCCTGTTTGCCTAAATCCGCTTTGGTCACGTGAGTACCCCCGTACTATGGGCTTTGTCTGAATAGCTTAATTCGATACCTAGCTGTGATGGAACTTTCATGGTCTTCGAAGCCATCAAGGGGTCCGGTCTTATAGAAAATCACATCCACACATGGCCGTTCATCCTCATCTGGACACCTGAAGCAAACATTTTTTAGGTTTCTGGACAGAAGGTTTGGCGTGGCTTGGACCGCACCTTGAGTAATCTCAAACCGATTTTTCGGTAGTTCAAGGATTCTCAGTAAGAACTGATAACTGATTACCCATACTACTCTGACCATTCACGAGCAGCCCGATCACCAGCTGGTCAGAACAAAGTCTGGGCTGTTCCAAGCTGTTCTGTTCGTCGGTCATTGATAGGATCTGTGTGAGAACTGCACAAACACAAAAACTGGATTTATCGTCTGGATTCTTTTGCCTTTAAATTTTTGAAACCTTCATATTTATTCTGGCACATGGAACCACTTCATTAGCACAAATGTTCTGCTCTGGACGGAAAAACAACTCTTAATGAAAGTAGGATGGTTGCGCTATGTTTCTAGTCTTTGCTGACAGATCGCGTAACATTTATCGACACCGAAGACAGGTCAGACAAGCAGAGTTGAGGCATTTCTGATCTCTTCTGAAAACAGTTTGGACCTAAATATTCTCCAGAAACTGCTTCACTGCCAAGCTGAAAGCTGCCGTCTCCATGGTTTCAAACCCATCAAAGCTTCAAGAGACGGGCGAGAATCGCCCTCTTCTAAGCGTCAGCTCTTCGCTCCAGAGGGGGACACCTGAATCACCAAACGTCAGCACTTAACCACTTACAGGATGCTCACAATCGAAGACGATAAAGTCACTTGAACATCTTGACTTTCGTTATCAGATTGGCTGCCGGTGAACTGTTGAAGTAACCGGTGATTATCGTACAAATTCTACAAGATAGATACTGGAAACCAAACACACAGGGTGTTTTCAACAGGTATCTGTCCTTCGTCATGTGGAGGTATGTGAGCTGAATTACATAACCCGTTTCTAGCTCCACTGTCTTCGCTGAAACATTCGTGTACATCACAGGCAGATGTTTCTGTAATTTCTGTGATTTACTTATTTAGATCCATAAAACTCCAATATACATCAAACGGGAAGGGAACTGAACCCGACTTTTGTCATCATCAACAACACCGGAATTTTTACCTCGGACATCTGACTTGCGAGGGCAGTTTTTCACAGCTACAATATTGACGCACACTGGACGCACTTGGATTATTACGTCTGCCTTCTTATTGCCGTGAACCCCGGGCTGGATAGCCGACTGATAGCCTGGTTGGCCAAACCAGCAAAAGTCAATGAACGTGCGAACCGGCTGATCTATTGATCACTGTCGCGCACAAGCGGGCCAAAAAAGTGACTCATCTGTCAAGGACGAGTTAGGAACAACCAATAAAATCTGTCTCAGCGAAAACGGTTATTCGATTGGCTGTTATGTAGTCCCGTTACGTTGGGCGCTGGTTCTCCTAATACGTCTGAATTGTGTCTGTCTCCTTTCAGGAAATGTGACTGGTGTCTCGGTTGTGTCGACCGATTAACATACCCGTCAGGCCCTCCCATTCAGACAGCGCCGGGAGACTCGCAAATGGCCGGATAACCTTGGATGTGGTTACGGACCACACGTCCGCATCCCTCTCATTTGAACAGTTCTACTCCCGTGCAATTAGTATCTTGGTGGGTCCACATCAAAGAGGAAAACTGGATGCAAGTTTTGTTCTCATTAGAACTCACTAGCAGCGCGTATCCCATCGCCGTGCCAGGAGTTGACCTCTGGACATCTGATGTGGCGGGTGAGCGATTTATCACCAGTCCAACAACGCAAGCTGGACGCATCTGAGATACCATGTCTGAAAAGACGCTGACGAGGTTCCGACAACTACAATTATTTGAAAATCCACTTCGTTTTCACGACAGACTCACCTGGAACCCAGCTGGATCTCTCGTTTATGATGGTCCTAACGAGGTTTGTTCACCGAACTCTTGATTGGAAATGAGTTCACATGGAAGAGTCACCTGCTCATCACATGTGTAGACACAGAGACCTTCAAGCGTCTGGACAGAAGTTCAGAGTTTCCAAGTGATGCGCAATGCTTCGTGTATCATGCCTACGTTTAAGTCCTCTATGAGACACCGCAGCCTAGATTTGCGTGATTCTTCCATCCAGAATAGTTCCACCAAGAAATAATGTTCAAACGGATCAATGCAACATTCTAATCAGTCTTTCTCTAGAATTATTTGTCGGTTTGTTTTTGCTCGGATATGCAGAGGAAGCTTGAGCGGGTCATTCGGTTTTCCTTGGAAGAAAACTGTTTTTTTTTGGAAAAGGGTTCGACCAAAAACTTGTTGCGAGCAAAACGTATCTGTTTCGTATTGTCATCCTGTGATTAAAAGAGCTGGCGATTGGACACAGTCCATCGGTGGCGAACCGATATCAATGACTACTTCTATTTAATTTGTCTGACCGAGTGATGGAGGTGTGAGCAACTCAGATGTTTGCCGTAAGCTAGCACTAGGTCCCCTTTATGTCCGATTTCTTCTCCTTTATTGAAATACATTAGTGTAGTTGTGCCTCACCGAAACACCAGTGTCCTCTTCTGGTGCTGTTTTCAAGCATAGGGAACAATGGAAAGTGTTAATTCTCTAGACAGACAGTTCAAACCAAGTAATACCACGTGTACCTCATGTAGTCTATCGCACCACAGATGAGCATCACTAGTGTTTCAATAAATACACTCATTTGCATATCAAGTCGGTTTTCACGGGGGCCTCAACTGAATCTCTCGTTCATCATATTCTTCAACTGAATGTGCTGCACAAAGGCTTCCTCATGTTTCAGTTCGAGATATCGCAGTGTATTTTCATAAAGGAGACTACTCACAAGTCTGCTCGAAACTCTTCGACAACTCGCAGCCAATTTCACCCTTCTTGAGTCTCCCGTGAAAATCTAGTTGGTACGAAAAGGAGTGCACTTGTCGAAATCTGTCCAATCGGGGCTGAAGTTCACGGAAACTCGGGGACTGCGCCTACCTGATGAGCCATAAGAAGGGCAAAACCGATCATGGGCTGTCGAAGGGTTTTTTTAGCAACCTTGTGAGTAGTTTCCTTTGTGAAAAATATACTGCGATATCTCGAATATTGTGCCAACTGAATCATGAGGCGGCCCGTGTACAGCACATTCAGTTGTAGAATAGCATAAACGAGAGATACAGTTGGATCTCTCGTGAAAACCAAATTGATTTGCAAATGAGTGTACTTCTCGAAAACAGTTCAATTTGGGTTCAAGTATAACATAAGGTTTACGGAAACTCGGGAGTGCGCCTATATGATGAGCCCTAAGAAGGGCAAAACTGGTCGTGGGCTGTCGAAGAGTTTTCAACAACCTTGTGAGTAGTTTCATTTATGCTAACAGTACTCGGCTTGGAATACCAAAGCGATTTATAAGGAACGCATCTCGAAGCCATGTGACTACAAACCTCGTTTATTAGGTTATGAGACTGACTAAAAACTCTTTTTGGGTTAGCTGACTGAGGCCTTACACCTTTTAATGGTGAATCCTGCTTGTTCTGATAGTTTAAATTACTATGAGTCTCGGTCAATCGTTTTCTTTAACAGGAACTTCACGTAAGGTGTCACTGTTCACGTGGGCACTCCCCTAACGGATACGTGTTTTCTTCCAAGAAGTTTGTGATGGAATGTGGATAGGGGGTCTGGTGAATCTTAAATGGAAGTGTATCAATGCACATGGAATGAGCTGGATTGAAACCAAAGTACTGTGACCTTTCGTTTCGTTCACTGTTCTTTCAGTGATTCAGTAAAGATCCTCCTCACTACAATCAGGTGGGTGAAATTCACCAGTGATTTGCCACGCTCCAATCTAATGGATTAAGGCTGTTAAGCCAACCACTTGGAAGACTGCTCGAGGGTTGATGTCATTCAGATATCCAAAAGGCTTTGACAAAAAAGCGTACGATACGCTGGTGCTTCAGTACACCTTGATGTGTGAGGTCGACGTAACACAAGGGGTAAGATTTACTCCAGTTGACTTCACAACAACACCATATTGAACAGGGATGCGGGTAGAAGATGTAAAATTCGAATGCGCATGTCTGACAAGATGCACTGTTTTTGGGATAATGTTGCACCTTTTTTGAAACACAAACGTAACGTATTCCAAGGGGACTTACTTATGCTGAAGTCCAAATGACGTTTGTGATGCGGTGCCTGTAGAATAACAGCAAACAAAATATACGATCGAGATAAACAAGTGCTCTGCCGTTTTGTAAAGAAACAATCAAAACAACTCAAGCACCTCACATACTATTTTGTTCCCACTCACATTCACTTGGGCAGTCACATTCGGGTCTGTTACTACCTGTTAATACCTGAGTAACTCCCAAGCACATGATTCCTGATGTTTATGGCTCTGTGTACATCCTCCGCAATACTGACCCATATAGAACTAAGTCGTAGCAATGTTTCAGCACGGTGAAGCAGCCAATCAGGTACATATTTGTTAGGAAAACAAGAAAAGCGATGGCTCATTCGGAATTCCATCCGAACCTCGGGTCTTGTGTCCGAGGATTAGCCGTCCCTAATAGCCGAAAATCACATAATTTGGGCGGATGTGTCACGTGCAGGACACGGACTAAACAAAGGCATACCCTGATTGGTCAGAATGCCAGCCAATCCGGATCAGGTATCTTTGACTCAACGCTTCTGACCCCCTCACGGAGATTCTAGCACGACCTTGTGGAACACTCTGTGACTACCCGATAAATACAGTTGTAATAATTCTCCTCTGTCTCCATAGGGGGGCTGTCTAGAGCTACCGTGCCTTTTGATATACCATGGTTGGCAGAGAGGAAACCAAGGGACCGATATAGGGTTGCACGATCGTCAACAAGTCACAACATCACCTGACTAGAAAATCGTGATAGACGAGGTAGTCGATCGATCAACTGAGATAGTTGCTGGATGGTCGTTCTAGTAGTTGAGTAAACCGGTAGCAGAGGTCAACCGCGAATAAATCCACCTGTACAGTGCACCCAAGTCTGCTCTGATGGATTCGTGATAACAGGCTTTCTCCGCTTATCACATATCCGGGAACCGAATCCCGCTACACTTCTGGTAAGTTCCAGTAAGAGCAAAAGCCGAGGCCAGTACTTCCCCGTTCGCTGTCCGGCGACGGAAGTAAACTCACCAGGACATGCCGAGCAGTGTTTAAACATGAGCGTAGATTTTGATGTTCCCCCAACCGCCTTCCAACCAGGGACTATCGTCTTGACAAAGCAGTAAGGTGATGACAAGCGCCATGGATTTATCCATAAAAGCACTTGATTCGCACAGCATTAGCGTCATGCGGTTACTTTCAAAGAGTGCCTTCTGATATACCGCAGTGGGCGGGGCAGGAATCACCGATACAGGTTTGCACTACGGTTTATCTAGACACAACATCTCGACCATGGGTGTGCAAACTATCGCTTTTTATTCAGTGGCTGTATAAACTATGAGTGTTGTACCGGAACTCAACGATGCACGTACCTCCTGTCATGCTGAAGAGATGCTGAGAGCTGAACTCCTCTCCTATAATCCCTCCACACCCCTCCAGATAAAACACTACTTACTCAGTTCACAGATGCAACAGACCGGTGGACTGATATTCATTATGAAAGAAAGATACGCTTTCTGCCGAATTGGTTGTTGTGTATTCAGGGACAGACATCACATTGCGAAGTAACTCTTCATGCGACGAGCTCATCCCGTCAGTCACCAATCACAATGAACGAAGTCAAGCTAATCATCCCGAGTCTCTTGCTCAGCAAAATGGGTACGCGCTTATTGCCAACGCAAGGCTGGCTGAGTCCGTGACCGGTAGAAAGACAAAGAGGTAGCCCAATTGTTCGGTCAGTAGTCATCCACAAGAAGCACGTGTTGGTATTTTTTGTCGAACCGTTCCCACTGAACAGCACTGGGTTGCAAATAGGAGGCCTCCACGAAGCAGCTACTAAGGGATGCAAGGTTTTTGGTGTGCGCTTTTGATAATGATGGATTCATGCTTCTTAGTGTATTCTAAGAGGCATTCTGGTTATTGCGACTCAACATTTGGCCGCGTAAATCCTTTCCCCCAGGAATATTGCTTGCTTCACGGTCGCCTATCGGGGCAGACCTCAGGAAGATCACTTTGACGATTTCTCAGCTACAAGGTCAGTATCCGTAATAGTTTATAGCGACTTCAATAATCGGTTTGCTAACACTGAACCCTCAAAAAATAACCTCTAAGAAAGAAAAAAGTGTATTTGAGCAAGCGTTGAAGAAATATACTCCCTCTGAGTAGAATGGGAATTTGACATACATTCCTGAGACGTCAAAAACAATCGTCCAGCTGTAACACCCTTCCCGCGCCTAGCTGCCGGAGGAAGCACAAGGGCTGGCCAGGTTGCCCAAGCCTAGACAGGGGAAGTCGAGAGGCAGAGGTCAGGTTCGAACCACGGACCTTCCGGTCAGTGAATTCGCGGTCAGTAAATTCGCGCTCGAACCACTGAGCCATCTCACCCGCCGATACTACTACCAGATATATGCTTTTCCGACAATTTTAGTTGCTGGCTCACGCCAGCCTTAAGCGTTTTTTTCTTGGCAAAGCATTACTAACAGGGTTGTTTCAGATTGTTCGACAGCCCGCGACCAGTTTTATCTTTTTTCAGGCCCGTCAGCTAGGCGCAGTCCCCGGGTTTCCGTCAACCTTATGTTTTACTTGAAACCAAATTGTGTGTGAATCGCAAGTATCTCAATTTACAAAAAAATATGCTTTTAAGGGGAGGCTCAGTTGAACCTCTTGTTTATGTTAAAAGCGTCTTTGTTGAGACGGAATGACGGTTGACAGACGACAGACGCGATAGCTGCATCCTTTTGCACAGGGCAACTATACTTTAGCAGCGTTTCCACGGGACTCTTTCTCTGCCCGCTTGTAATGCCGTATGAGTGGACGAACCGTCCTTCATCGCTGTCGGGACGCGTCCATACATGGAAAACGCGCATGTGCAGAGAATGACGCGTCCCAAGGTCATCATCGGTCCCACACGTTCCGGATAACTAACCGCTGGTGAAGCACATCAAACGCGACTTAGCAGCATGTGACTAGCGTAGTGGGGGTGAAATTGCTCACGGCAGGAACACTGCCATTAGCTTGACAGAGCGCACAAGCGAACGACCATAATTGGCCATTTAGCCATCCGATATATTTACGCAGAAGTTCTGTATGTTTGTCCTGACAATACAGCCATTTCTCAGACGGCCACCCACGATCCAACAAGCATATGCCAGCAATCAACCCGTCATCACAACTGAATGCACATGACAACGCTGTGAGCTATCAAGAAAAACTCGTGACTAGCCCCCTAACCCCCAGTCATTCGTTGGGGCAGTCGGTTAGAAACACCACAAATTTCTCACCGTAAATATCTGGTGAGCAGGATAGTCTGATTCCCAACCCCATTCATTCTGGCCAACTGATTACGCAAAATCTGGCTACAAAGCCTAACCGGGACAAAGTCTACCATAAAGACAGCCTGGGGAACGCAATGGTTCGATACCTTTAAAATCACCGACTGAATGCCACTACTTTGTGCATATAACTAGCGCCCGATTCCTCACCATCTATCAACAAACAAAGTCGAGGAGAGATGTGGAGGGAACAGAGACAAGTTTCACAATTCCGAGCCACATCGCCATTTTCAAGAGTTAGTTCCGCTACTTCGTCTCAGCTGCTGGAACACCTATTCCTCCTCAACTTTGAATTAAGACGGTCTCCCAGCTTACAATCATTCGTTAACATACCAGAGTTTTGCTCTGATATCTTGATAGGAACCGGACACAGACATTTGTATGCTACTGATCCGTATTTCAGCGACCACTATCGGTTATGACTGCTGCAAAGATAAAAACCCCAGATTAGCTGATCCAGACTCACCTTCAAGTTTGTGCTTCCGTCATAAGTTGCCAAGGGGCAGCTTTTGAGTTTCTCCAACTCCCCAAGTAGGAACGGCAAAGTGGTGAGTGATAACAGCTTGTAGAACAGAATACGGGATATTAGTGTTTTCTTCAAAATAGCACGTCTCTCATAACAAAAGCAGAGATTATTCTTTATTCTCAAACCGTTACGTATGAGAAGTTCACAGATTTCGAAATGCAAAATAAATGCGAGAATGTCAATGCGCTTTGGAAGAGTGAACTTTTGTCTAATTTATCTCAACTCTGCAGGGACGGTGTCATGGGGAGCTGGTTCGCAAACAGTCCCATTTAAAGCATTCCCCAAGTTTGTTTACATCCTTTTTGAATGAAAGAACAGGTGCATAACATTTAAAAAATGGAACTGGTAGCCACTACGAAGAACCTGACCTGGGTCCTTCAAACACAGGTCCCCGATTTTATTAGCTAGTTGGCCTGACCCGACTCAGTCTGCTTCCAGAAGGGAGTCCCACGCGGTCATTCACAAGAACTCCCAGTGAAAACAAAGATGAAGTCTGGGTCCTCCCCGATTTTATTAGCTAGTTGGCCTGACCCGACTCAGTCTGCTTCCAGAAGGGAGTCCCACGCGTTCATTCACAAGAACACCCAATGAAACCAAAGATGAATGCGAGCTTCAAACATAGTCTATGGATGACATCCTATTTTTCCGGCGTACATCCGAAATGAGAGCGTGCTTCTGTCCGGCGAGATGTACAACTCAGAAGCGATCATTGATTCGTTACTGGTATTGGTACTGTTTGATTCTGGTCAATGATGTACAGCTATCAAAGCAACCCGATTAACTCACCAACTTAGGTGTCGATTTATCAATCGATCGTCTTTGACGCAACTCATACTTTGTGAGGATCGGTGATTTGAACTCACATGCCGGACCAGGTTCTGTTTGTGTGATCCCATTCATGCCGAAGTGAAGGACAAACCTCAGGCGCAAAATTTTTTTCCAGGAATGCGCTGGTTGTATTCCATGTTGAAAACCAAACAACAGGCCTAGCACCAAAAGACAGAACTTCTTCGATTGTATTCCTTCTTATCAACTAACATGCTTCACTTATCTAATCAACAATGACAGTTATCTAACACCTGATTTTTCCTCTTTGGCTGGGGGCCCCACAATGATCACAGTTGGTTCTTTCTATAGTGACTTACTCTAAAAGGAAACCATTCCCTGTGCTCCTGGTGAACTAGAGAAGTTTGTAAATACCTACTTCTTCGTGCAATATGCTCAGTTCAACTGAACAGATGCAAACAGATGGAATCGACTTGAACCTCAACTGAAACTCGCAACTCACGTGCATATCTGGAATGAGCAGGAAACTTCCGGAACGAAAACAGGCCAATAAGATCTCCATCAGAGAAGACTGAAGCCTCTTCTGTTCAATTTCATTTGACCAGTCCTTCCAGTGTGTAGTCAGTTTGTCGGTCGAATATTCAACCAGTCGACGTCCAAGAAGATGGGCGAGTTGATGGACAAGCGTGCGTCGACCAGACCCGCTTGGCCCACATAACATTCCCGGCTGTGGTGATGTGTCAAAACGACAGGGAAGCAACTACACCATGTTCGATATGAAACAGAAATACTGTCGAGCAAACGTTTTCTGTGACTCTTATTCAAGTTTTTTATACTGCGGTAGCTCAGTTGACACAAAACTGACAAGTTTGATCATATGTGAGGTGATGAAACTTGAAAAATTGGTATCTACATTCATCTAAAGCAAAGCAACACAGGTCGAGAGTGAGTAGACGAGGCAAATTCTCAACATTTCTTTACAGCCCACCGTTCCTAGAGGAGAAGCGGCCCCTTATCATCACGTTACAGATGATCAGGTTGCATATAACCGGCTGTGAGTGACAGTCAGTCTATGCCGAAGAGCTGAGAAACACTGTACAGAAGTTGCATTCACCAGTTGTGTGCAAATCGCGTCTCGGACGTACGACTTTCCGGCAAGTAGTTGAAGACTAAATCGTTCGGCAATGATTAGCAACGAGATTAGCCCACCGAATTCACGACTTCCTTCAAGTTTTTACTTAAAATGCTTACCGGTTTGTTCATTCAGCACACAATTCATAACTTTTTTCTTCTGACACCAGACAGGTCAGTCAAGGCTGCCGGATCACTTAATGTGAATTGGAAAACTGAAGGATACTCGAATCCGATACCAGCTAAATAGAAGTTTATAACATCGCCTATCGTGGAATCGTAACCACATGGTATGTTGACCAACTGCTAACCGAAAGGGTGTGGGTTCAGTTCCTCCGACCAAGTCGTGTGAAGCTCAACAGTGATAAATCACAAGTTCTACGACCTCTTCGGCTTCTTGAAATAGATTTACTTCAATCGCAAGATGACATGTAAGTGAAAACACGAGCTGGTATGTTCGGTGCAACACCCCTCCATAACAAGGTAGCCATCCCATATACGTTTATCAGGAAAAAAAGTAACGTAAAAACCCAATCCAAGGAAAAAAGATATTTGATCTAGCCTGGGGAAATCGGGACTTGTGTTTGGCTCTCTCCCATGAAATCGTGGCTAACAAAGAACACTTTAGTAGATCCTTTTCCAGGATAGATTTTACTGTGGTAGGTTGTTTTAGTAGTATTCAAAATTAGCTGTTTTCTTGAGGATAAACTTCTAAAATTGGTTGGTGACGCGCAGTAAGCGGCACCCATCCGAAGGACCAAACTGTCCTTGCCGGTTACTACACCAAGCTATGTGCAATTTTCAGGCACTCTACAAGAAACGCTTGTTTTTTTTTGAAGACCCCTGAAAATTTGGTAACCAAACAACTTTCTGTTTGCTTTATATCATGATCCCTATTTTCGGGCTTCACTTCACGGATTACAACTAGGTGGTAACGCACTAAACTCCACTTAGGTAGTAGTGTATGATTCCATTGTCCTCAGAGCAACTTTTTATTCTGATACATACTGACCCTTGTTTACAGGTTGTGCCATCCAAAGAGAGGACACATCTAGTTTCATTTCCCCCACCGCAACGCTCACGTGGTGAGTGACCGAATTCAGAACGGCGATGCTTCCCCATATAAGTACGGTCGCTTTTCCCTCAGTTGATTTGCCGCACCGCGGACAGGGGAACGGCTAATAGTTCATGCTCTCGGGCAGCAAACAAGCATGGCTCCACTCTCAAAAGTCAAGTTAAAACACATCGGCAACCAACTCTTGAATCATCATCATCATCATCAACATCATCAAAGACAGCAACATCAGTGTTGGCCGCACAACCAAGAAGCCCTAGGGTGAAAAGAAGAGCGAAAAGAGTGGGTGAGGGAGGGATCTAGTACTGGCCTATGTCAAGCATTCTGAGGTGCCTACACCTCGCACCGCTCAATCAGACAGTCTTGAAAGAAACTGACAGCAAGAACGCCACTGACATCGATTAGCCGCCGTTTCTTGCAACGTCTCCAGCCAAGCACAGACGGCGTCACGGGAACCCCATCTTGAAAGGCTTACAACGCCAACAACACCCAAACCCTTTGTGATCTCTTTCACGCCTGGATTTTGAATACCGTCGAGTGTTCGCCTCATTATTTCATCACTTGCGAAGTTGAACAAGAATGGAGAGAGTGGACATCCTTGTCTGACCCCACATTTTGTAGGGAAGCTTTTGGAGAGCTCACCATACACTCTCATCCGCCCAGCAGTATGTGAATATAAGGATCGGATTATCTTTGTAATGTACTACTCATAAGGTTGCTGAAAATCCGTTGACAGCCCACAACCGGTTTCGTCCTTTTTTGGGGCTCATCAGGTAGGCGCAGTCTCCGAGTTTCCTTCAACCTTATGTTCTAATTGAACCCAAAATAGACTGTTTTTGAGAAACACACTCATTTGCAAATCAATTCGGATTTCACTGCGATATCTCGAATATCGTACCAAAACAAAGATATGCATGTATCGCGATATCTCGAATATCGTAGCGACTGAAACACGAGGCGGCCTGGTACAGCACATTCGGTTGCCTGGAAACATCACAAGTGAGAGATTCAGCTGGGTTCCAGGTGAATCTCTCGCAAAACCAAATTAGTTTGCAAATGAGCGTATATTCGCTAGGATCGGGTTATGTTTACAAACTTCTGGGGCATACTATTTGCAGTCTAAGTATGTGGATACGCATGCGCATACGCACCTACGTGCGCACAGCGGGGGAGTGGTCAACATTGACCGGTAGCATCGATCGTTCGAATCGTGATTACTGTTCAGCTTGAGTACATTCGTCAAAAAGTTTGCGGATCGGTATCACGGGTATCACGAGAAATAATCCACAACACAGGCACGTAGTCCTTTGACGGATGGGGCTCTACTTAGCGTCCCCCATCCGGTTCAAATGTTTATCTCCGATTCTCAGGTGAGCTGTATCAATAAATATTAAGAGAACCGGCTCCGAACGTAATTGGACTACACAACTGTCAATCGAATCACCGTTTTCGTTGGGACAGATTTAATTGGTCGTTCTTCACTTGTCCTCGACAGATGCATCCTATTTTTAGTATCACTTTTTGGCCCGCCTAGAACTTTCCATGTGAGCTGTATAAGCAGCCCATTTTCGGCTGCACGCGACAGGCCTGTACGCGTCAGCGCTCAATAGATCAGCTGATTCGCACATTCATTGGCTGTCCTGTTTGGCTAAGCGCATCAGGCTATCGAGCGCTCATTCAGACACGGGTTCACGGTATTAGGAAGGCATTAAGAAAGCCTACGAGGAACTGAAAATGCACTCCAGAGCCAATAGTTCACTGCAGAAAGTTCCTTATCGAGGACAGTAGAGGTTTTATGATACCTTTGATTTCTTTTCATCGATAGGTCGATTCTAGTCCCTAAAGTCAGCGAGGCCATCAGTTAAGAAATCAGAGATATTACTGACCTTTTGACTGTAGTAAAGGTGTGACTTTTAAGTTTAGCATCTTTCCAGCCATGTGAATAGGTACCGCAATGAGTATTCTTCAGATACACGCAAGTAATAAAATATCGTATATGGTGGCAAACTCACAGACATCGTTGCCACAGCCGATCCCAGTAGAATCAGTTCTCTAGAATTCGGGGCTGGTGGGACGAGAAACTCTTCATTGGCATCTAGTTGGTTGTTGAAATCCCAGTTGAATACGTGATTTGTATGCATATGGCATACTATTATCGAGGCTGTGGAAGAGTCTTGATGAACTGTCAGTCTGTGCTTGAACAGTTGCAACCAGGCAAAGGAATTCCGGTCGACTGATTGGTCATCAGTTAAACCTGTGGAACATGAAATGAAACTTTACTCAGTAATTCAAACAATACGGACGAAGAAATGGTGGAAAAAACGCTCGTATGATGTCTGTTACAATCTCAGAGCCAACCGAGTTGACCGAAAAAAAGTCGTCAAAAAAAATATAAGCTTGGCTGCTTTCCAATCATTGTAATCTTGAAATCACTTACATTTCACGGCACAAATCATTTCCAGAACAGTGCTGCATAGTGCCTTGTATTTGTGATTCTCCAAAATCGACTGTGAATCGGGCGTCCGCAAAAACCTGGCAAATACATCCAGTTTGCTCTGAAGTCTCCCGCTGAAACAAAGGAACGATTTTTCCTTTTTAGTTGTTTGGGTGCAACATTTCAAGTTGCGGTAACAGATGAGTGGTCTGATGTCAAGCGAAAGGGTACTCAGGAAGAACAAAATGATGTCACTGGTTGGGGGTGGAGGAAAAACTGAGAATTACGGAAAGCCTCATCTATTATCGGGACATACGTACTCGAGGGGCGGAAGATTCCGCGACGCAAAAGAACCATTTCACGTGTACGGCACCAGATCGACCATGCCGCCCCGTTTTATAATTCACTCGGATAGTCATGTTACTGCGAATTCGTGAGTAGTCAATCGGCGTTAGCCACCACACAGAAACCAGATCAGGATCACTAGTTAGGGCACACACTTACTGACTGGGAGATCTGTAGCTCGGACCTAACCCCGAAATCTCGGCTTCCTCTGCTCGGGCTTGGGCAGCATGACGCGTTCTGACCGCCTTCGGATCACGTGGCAACTAGGCACCATCGATTGCTTGATTGAATTGCGCTCGCTAGTGTAGATTGGAATATTCTACCCTTAATATCCCTCAGGCTCTAATGATAGCAGGCCGGCCCGTTTATCACAAACACGTCATTTGTAACGCTTAGACTAACAAATCTAGCTTCAAAGAGGTTTTGTCTCTAAATGAAATGCAAGTTGACTAACCTGGTAATCCAAGCCTGAAAAAATTCCGACAAATTGTTAACCACTCAAGCTGGTTTCGTCCACATGGGAGATTCGACGGTGCTTTTCACCAACATCCAAGGAAACAGATTGTTGAACTGCGTCTGACTACAACCTAAACGTGACAGTTGACTAACTAGCCAACCTTGGCTTACCTAGTTCAGCTAATTTATTGTGAACAGGGTTACTTGGGTGATTTTAAATCAGAAGACGACCAAGATATTGCTTGAAAGGAAGACCAAACACTGAATTTCGAGTTGTAACAGACTAATTCAAAGATCACGGGATGAGCTCAAAAGTACTTTTATCAGTTAGTGGGACTTAACGAAAAAAGAAAGGGACCATCAGGCACCCATTGGGAATTCATGTTTATTGACTATTGTGTAAGAATCGTACTTAAAAAACAATCGAGTGTAGGGAGACAATAAACGTCAATAGGCTTTCTGACTGAAGATCCACTCGCTCGTTACATAAAACTAGGGATTTGATAGCCCCCTTGAACAGGGATCTCCTCCAAGAACGGACAAATAGGAGCAGGTCCCATGAGTGATCTCTACCGGAGCAGTCACGGTTTCTCGAAGCAAAGTTCTGTGTATGTCCTTGTCTGATAGATTAAATGCCATTTTTGGTGTGAATTTCTGTTTCAGGAAATCGCAGAATAGCTTCACGCTGTATTGTCAGTGTTTTTTCATTATTTTTCTTCGATTTATACAGTTATTCACTGTGAAAACAGTTAAACGGTTGAAACAACCCAACCAAAACGTCATGTGACTTGGACTGGTGTTCGGTGCCCGAATAGTCTGACACCGAAATCCGTGCTAATAGAATCTCAAGCACACGGTTTTCACTGAGCCGCATCGAACACAAATTAAAAAGTGCAAACATAAGAGCGTCAGACCGAATGGTGAACGGTAGAGTGTACCGGTTGCCAGAATGGGGCGTCCCACCTTGGATACACACGGCTACACCGTTTTGTTTGTATGAAGTGTCAATTCTAACGCCATCAAAGAATAAGCATTTTTTTACAATTCAGTCTGTTAAGACGGAGCTTTGAAGCCCCAACAACGATGCAGTTTAACTGACTAATGTCTACATCAGACAAGCTTTCAGACCGGAGACCGCGCTTGCGCCGTTGCAGATTCATCTGGGCCAGGACGTGATTGGATGACAATTCCAACCAATAGGAAGAAAGCTTATGCCATCACCTAGACGTAAAAACGGGTAACAAAGGGTTGCTTGTGGTTGATTCTCCCCTGAATGCACTGTATCAATAGAATGGTAACTGGTAGTTGACCAAATAACCTACTGTAATCTTTCCAAAAGCTGCAGAGTCTTGTGATGTCCAAGAAGGCAACTCTCCATTTCCTGCCAGGCATTCAGTCTTTGAGCAAGCTGCAGGCAGATCAAAGGAACACCGGCGACACTGTTGAAGCCTTGACCAGTGACAGTTGTTTCGGCATCTTCCCGGCATTTTGAAGTCAAATGCATGAGGGTGCGCAGGTAAGATGAATGAAAGACAGCGAACCAGTGTGCAATAACACGAGTGAAAGATAGCGAACCAGTGTGCGGCCGAACACATCGTCGATGTCAGTGGTTGCGAAAACTCTAAATTTTCGCCCGACTGCGTGACGAAACCGGAAACCTGAAAATGTCCAGAGAATAAAACTCACAACTCAATTCTATGGTGAATGTTTTCGAGCAACTCTTCAAATGTGTTGCCTAAATTTCTGAGGAATCCAGACTTATTTCTCGGTCTTATTGGGCGTATTCAAGATGGTCCCACCGAACCGGCTACGGCACAATTAATCGGCAGCAAGACTTGTCCAGACGCAGATTGGGGGTTGTGACTGCATTTGGCTGATTTTTTTCTGACGTAATACACTACTGATGAAAGAAAGACGGCGTCCGCTGCGGAGTTATTTGTCAGAAAATGCCAACTGATCGGTTACAGACCATTGGACAGGGAAGCAAAATTCTCATTTGCAACTTATTTACAAAAACTGGACATCCATCTTCTCCTGAACGCGTCTTCTTGAACTTTCCTGGATGTTCATTGACTCCAATCATTCATTGATCAACTTCAGGCAAATGTTGTAAAAGCGACTCCACAAATTCCGCAACAGTTTGAATTTGTTGTTTAAATCAATATGACCTTCAAATCCAAAGGGATAGTGCTTTAATCGATTGGTCTGACCCCTGACCCTGATGGCGGTGCCCATTGTCATAACATCGTGTTTGTGCCGGCTGACCCTACGCAACGAACGTCTTCATGTTCGTCCGCTTATCTTACTCTTTTCGGTCCACATTGGCGCTAATGCCTTGCGCGCATTGCCGAATCTGACTTCGAGCAAACCGTTTGTGACTCTCCAACTGTGCGTAGGTATCCATTGGTTTTATCACTACTGGACGGTGAATCCTATTCGGATACCAGCTATCTATCGTTGGTCGTCATTGAAAAGCCACTATGATCTTCAGGGGTTCTACTTTGTCTGTCACCAGCTGTGCCTACGCCACTAACAAGGGGGGAGATTGGTGGGCTCACAGTCTTTGACAGAATAGCTGAAAGTGGTCACCACAGAATCTACCACCTCTATCGAGCGGCGTTTCCTTTGGTTATGACCATTCTGATTCACCCGAAAAAAACTGTGAATAGCGCTCGCTTGTCCCTCCACAAAGACTCCGTCCCTGCATAAAAAGACCGAACTCGTTGTCCTTTTTCAAGAAGAATTATTCTCTGTCTCTAGTGATGGGGAATTCGGGAAGCCAGTCAACAGGGGACCACCACTTGATGTGGATCCCTTAATTGGAGGATGAGCAGTGCTATGTCCTTTCAAAGCCAATCATATTGCTGATCAGCCGCTCGTGGATAAACATCGTGGTCTTCAGCTACTGTCCGGGAGATTGTGAGTTCGAAGAGCGCTCTGAGTTTCGAGAGATGCGCTCTACGATGATTTTCAACAAGGACGAAGTAGGGTGACTTCATCTGAAAGATCAACTCTCAATTGGGAACGTTCAAACAAATAACAACTCAAAGCCAACAACAGAAAAAGGTGGATTCATCTACAAAACGGTTCGACACGTTGCATATGGGATCCTCTCTTCGTCTTCTGGAGTGGATACTCTGGTCTCAATCTAAACAGAGAGGTTTGCCGAACATGAAAGAGCCAGAGTACTTTCAATCTGAGGTGGTGGCGTAACGGTATTTGGATGCTTTATTCGTTTGGTTCATCTCTCAGGCATTTTCATATTTTTAAAAATCATTCTACGCAAATATTTGTACATCGAATAAACAAGCCTCGGAAAACAGATTAACTAATGCGGTGGGAGGTCCTTATAGGATTGACAGGTTGATTAGGGGCTAGATGTCCCAAGTGGTTAGAGAGCGAATTTACTGATCGGAAGGTCTGTGGTTCGAGCCCGACATCTGCCTCTCAACCTCCCTTGTCTAGGCTTGGGCAAGCTGGCAGCATCCCAGCCCTCGTGCTTCCTTCGACATGGCAGTTCGGCACCAAAAGGGTGCTGTAGCTGATCGATTTTTCTTGACATCTGTACGCCTAAACCACTAACTGGCCACATCAGGTCACTGTGTTGTCATCTGCTTGGTAGCTTTTATGATGCTTTTCAAGAACCTCACAGTCCTGTGGAAAAGTCCAGACAGAAACAAGAATAATCCAGCCATTGCAAACTTCATGGATCTTCAGAATCTGAGATGGGCGCAACGCCAACCGGAATTCAAGATTCCATTTGGACAGGAAGCGAATTCCTCAGAAAATGTGTTCTCATAAAAGTATCTGGGTGAATTCAGGCTGGGCCGAGGTGGTAGGTTGCTAGAGCGCGAATTTACTGACCGGAAGGTCCGTGGTTCGACCTCCCCTGCCTAGGCAAACTGGCGGAACCCCAGCCCTCGTACTTACTTTGGGTGGCGTGGCAATTAGATAAATTTGTGTTACAGCTGAATGATTAATTTTTTTATTTTTAGGCCGGTATTAAGGCCAAGAGATAAGTTTTATAAATACCCGCAAAGGAGGCACAATCAAAATGAATGTGATTCTTTGTAATGTACTACTCATAAGGTTGCTGAAAATCCATGAGCAGTACATTACAAAGATATACATGTATCGCGATATTTCAAATATCGTAGCGACTGAAACATGAGGCGGCCTGGTGCAGCACATTCAGTTGCCTGAGAACATCATAAACGAGAAATTCAGCTTGGTTCCAGGTGAGTCTCTCGAAAAAAACCAAATTAGTTTGTAAATGAGTGTATATTCGCTGAATATGTGTTTGATTTGTGGTTTGTGGACCCTCATCTCCAAACTCCAATGAGTTATCTGATTGTGTTTCGGGTGAGACGGATTTCAACTCACCGTCCATCGGGCACCAACTTGTCTCTCACCCATAACTAGCTCCTTCACAAACGGAAATAAAGAACGTGTCCATTGCTGCAAGCGGGTTCGAAGGAAGTACTCCCTCAGGCATTCCTCGCACTGTCCGTCCCTAGGAGATAACGGATCACACCCAACGCATCGATCACACACGTGTTCAGACATGTTCCACTTTTCACCCGTGTTCTGTCCAACAGTGAATACAGATATGGAGCGAAATTTTCGATTCAGCATTTGCCAGCTTCCAATCGTCTGTCTGACGATCATGTCAGGTAACAAGGAGAGTGGGGGGTAGATCTGCAAAGGAAAGTGTGCAACCATTGAGAGGGAACTGAGCAGGGCTTTCATACTGACCTCCACTATCGTGATTACCGATTAGTTATAAGTGGGTAGAACCTGTGACAGGTTGAAAACGAATGGATCAGTGCGATGCAGAACATAAGCAAAACACCAGAACAGATGGTACAATTGTCTTACCCCACTGTGCCTACGTAAGTTAAAAATGTACCAAAATAAACTACGTTTCAAGTCTATGTAGATGAAACATCTGGTTACGACGTGAGATCGGAACCTGAACCCTGATCGTCTAAACGTCACAAACGAGAGATTCAGCTGGGTTTTAGGTGAGACTCTCGCAAAACCAAATTAGTTTGCAAATGAGTGCATATTCGCTAATTTCGTGCAATTTGGGTTCAAGAGGAACATAAAGTTGACGGAAAACCGGGGACTGCGCCTACCTGATGAGCCAAGAAGGGCGAAACCGGTCGTGGACTGTCGATGGAGTTTCAGCAACCTTATGAGTAGTGCGTTGCGAAATTACATGTATCACGATATCTCGAAATCGTAGCGACTGAAACATGAGGCGACCTGGTGCAGCACATTCAGTTGCCTGGAAACATCACAAACCAGAGATTCAGCTGGGTTCCAGGTGAGTCTCTCGCAAAACCAAATTGGTTCGCAAATGAGTGTTTTTCGCTAATGGTCCTAGTATTTCAGAAAATGGTAGCGAGGCTTTATAGAAGACAAAGATGTGGTGAGAACTGAAAAAAGCAAATCGCTCAGTTTTGGGCCCGGCTAGTGAATTCGACAGGATCGATCAGTGGATGTTGAGGCTGGAGGTAAACATGAGACTTTCACACCACACTGCGAGCCAGGCTTGATAGCTCTCAGCTCGTCTGTGAGGATCGCGTAAATCCCCTATTGAGTGCGCAACCGTTTGCAACCAATCGAATTCCTAGAGTGTTTGACGCATGGTTCGAACCCAATGAACCCAATGAACACTTGATTTTTCAGTCGAAAATGCCCTTCCATGGTTCAGATGTTGGTGGCTGTGGGATTTTGTAAAATGCATACCCACGAATCGTCTAGAACACTCGCCTTCCTGTCCTAGCGTAATCATTGTGGTGAGTCCACACCAAAGGGGAGAAGCACCGCACTCGTTCTCATTATGCTGCATATGGCTATGCCGGGGCTCGAACTCTACACTCTAATATGCAAGGTGACCGTGTTACCACTACTCCACCGGTGCACGTTGGACGCATCAGAATATTCACATCCACTCAGCCAAACTTGTTCACGCTTCAGCGATGTGATTGGTGTGCCTAATTTTTCAGGAGCATTCTTTTGTTTTTCTATAGAGGAAAATGTCGGTAGCTCAGGTAGCGTAGATGGTCGTTGGGTTGTTCGCTGAGCTGGGCAATTTGATTGCAAACGTTTCATCACCAATCGAGGTGATATCACCAGTGCTTTATTGGGGAGCGTAGTAATGTGTAGCGGTGGGTTGGTGGTTGTGCATTGAGTAGTGTAAAGTGTGGATCCACTTTACGCACTGCTACGCACAACCGTCTCAACCGGAACACTCAAGGGGGGCCGAATATTGGATTCACGAACAGGAAAACAAGGAACCCCTTGGAGTCAAATCAATAAAGGTCACAAGCCGGAACTCGGAGGGACAAAGGTTACTCCACCGGCACCGACCGCAGTGTTGCAACTTCATATATATTTAAAATTGCCTCCAATCTTGTATGACTGCCTTCCCGGTTAACAATTCAAAGGGACCGCCCTTTTTGAACTGGTGGAATTGAACTCTATTTCAGTTTTGCAAGACATCCATATTTTCCGTTTTCTTTACCGCGCAAATCGTTTTTACCGCTTTGATTATACTATTTTTGTACCAAAACCTTGGGCAGGTATATATTGTTTCAATTCATGAGTTTGAGAAGCGGTTTCGGTCACGCGTTGACTGTTGATCCATATCGGCTTTGCTCGCCTTTTGGAGTACCTCACCGTTTGTCGAAAACCGTTGAGGTTTGTAATTTTGTATTCCGTGTAACTACTTTCATTTTTTATAGTACAGCACATTTGCGTAGCCATTCGTTCGGAGTTTTGCCGGTTTGGTTGCTAACCTTGGTGCTCGTTGCTCAAGAATTCGAAACGGTCGTTACAATCTACGCTCCCCAATAACGCACTGATGATGTCACCTTGATTGGTGATGAAGCGTTTGCAATCACATTGCCCAGCTCAGCGAACATTTTTTTTGTTTCAACTGTTGCTGCTTGCGGGATTATGTAGAATACACGCTCACATGACTCTCATTTGAACAAACGTTCATTTCTAATAAGAGCGAAACACGAGTCCAGTGCTTCTACCGCTTGGTGTGGACTCACCCGAATGACTGTCAGGATAGGAGGACGAGTGTTCAAACGAGAGTCATGTGAGTATGCAAAACATATCATAAAGTTGCCAAAAAAAACGCTTAACGCTCCACTACCCGTTCTGCCATTTTCAGCCAATCGAGGTATCTGGTGAAATTGTCCATTGTCGGACTGAACAGAAGTTCATTGATTAATTTACAGATTTCACTCCATGATACACACTTTCTTCGCTGTCACTGTGTACAATGACTCCTCTGTACTGAATTGCCAACCTTCTGGTTACTCGTAGTAAATAGGTGGACACCAAGTACCCAGAACTAATGGAAGTAACCGTCCAGTGCTAATCCACGTAATAGGACAAAAATGGAAAGAATATTGTGGAAATTTTTCCAGGTATTAGGGAAATAAGTTTGTCATTGAGGAGAATGTTGGTAGCTCAGGTAGCTTGGTCAGTAGTTGGTCTTTTTTCCTCAATTCGCCAAGGCTGTTATTGGACTTGGACTTCCTAAGGTCACAGTCAGTGACTGGTGTTTGCTTACCGTTGTAGGCTCTCTGTGTACTTAGAACACTTTTATGCGTGGTATATTGCTTTGAGTGTACGTTCTTGCCATTGAATCATACACCACACCTAGTATGACAGATGCCTGGTGCCTGACGGGCGAGACTTGAATAGGCTAGCGCTTACCGCGCCTTGAAAAACATTCAGCACCGCTTGTCCTTTCCTCGGTTGTTGTTCCTTACACACGTGTTTCTTACATACTTCGGGATTCATCTTCTCTGACTGGAACTGTTGGTGTCATGACTTCGAATGGAACGCTTCCTTCGTTTTATCTAATATTCTGCTGTAATCCTTCCACACTCGTCACCTACATTTACCACTACCAGTTTCGTCCTTCCTAGGCCCATCAGACAGGCCTGGCTCCTGATCCTCTACCAGTTTCACCTTGTGCTTTAACTAATGTATATTGCGGGTATATAAGCACATTGCGCGGGAACACTCACTTACAAATTACAGTGGTCATGACGAACACTAGCGTGAATTTCAGCTGAGTCCCACAGAAATTAGTTCAAAAGAACTGGTCCGGACGATCGAAGTGTTGAATACCATGTTAGGTGCTGTGTGACAGACTACCCAACAGTATGTCAAAGGGCACACTTCCATCTTCGCTGTGTTGGTCGCTAGTAGAATCAGTATTCTACGAAGAGACTGGACCTTACGGTGGTGTGACGGTTTGCTCACCTCAGCGATCCATTGAGCTACACTCACAGAGTCTCTCATATTAGGTAGGCCAATGGTTAGATGATGACGATGATGATGATGATGATAATGAGAATCAGTATTAGTAGTTCCATCATGCCCGACTATCTACAAAGTCGTATTGAACCTTCTTTTCAGTTTGCTCGATTTCTCAAGTGTTCATTGTCAGTCTGTGTAATCCGTGAGTAAAGACTGGCAACACATTTTGTCTCTTCTAATAAGGCCCCGCAAATTACTCCTCCTCACCATTCCGACGAATCTGGTAATCTCTTTTTCCTACGACCCGTATATTCCTTCAACTTGAGGAAATTAGTATCCAAAATCCTGAGACACCACAATATTGCGTCACATATTCAGCAAAAATGTGCTTTACAAACCGTAGATTGTAAGCGAAAGTCCATTCTTCCTTCCAGCTGCTGCTCTCACTGTTACTGCAGAGCGGGTGAAGGAACCATTGACTTCAGGAAATGGTTGACATCAAACCACCGGTCGGCTGACGTTATCACGAGCCGAAAGGTGATAACATAGTGTGTATTTTTGAACAGTTTGGGAGTGATGAACGATCATATTCTGGTGTGTATACGATGTACGGACTTTGTACCGCTATTGGGCTAAATAAACACTGAGACAAACAGTTGACTTGCAGGCGCACCGGCTTCGCGGCTGTTGTTTCTAGGACATTAGTCGTCCGTACGCATCTAGACTTGAAGAAATTCCACACGGCTTCTTATGGATCCCAGGGTGATTACTATGAGGTAACAGTAGTCTCGAGCGCCCCGCCATACAAGCTGGATATACACTGGACTGCTGTTTGCTGAGCCAAATATTGATGAGACTGCACTAACGAATGCTGCTTTGGAAGAGATATCATCACTGTACGTTGGTTTCTGAGGCTCGGTGCTCTCTAGTCTGCCACCAATCTTGTATACGTTGTGCAGCCCTTGCCCGATCCTCACCCACTAAGCAGTGGGTTGGGACAAACTGAGAGCAACTAGGGGTATCAGAATCTGTACTTGTGTATTTGAAGCATTGCCTCCCTCCACCTCCCCTCCCCCGCCGAAACCGGAAAGAGATCCTGCAAATTTAAACAACGTCCTGTAAGATCCACTTTGAACGAAAAGACGGAATAAACAGATCGCAAGGGAACACAGAGGGACACTGAGCGGCACAAAAAGCCGAGACACAAAATAGACTTGAAAAGAGATAAAGTTTTAAGTTGGGACTAGAATTCACGACTAAACACTAATGCATTGGGAATCGTCAAGCATCCTGGCATGAGCAGAATACGGGGCGGAGAACCAACAGCACTGGACACGCCAAGTTAGTGATGTGTGGTAATCACTCGGAAGAGGTCGGTCATCAACATAAACGGTTTAGTTCCAATAAAAATCCAAGCAAAACTCACGAGCCCTCAAAACAAAAAACAAGGCTGCCCACTTGCCCCAAAATTCATGCAATCGGTCGTGAGACAACTAACAATAACCTTTGTTGTGAACCACAGTCTCCTTAATGCTTTCTTATTGCCGTGAAACCCGGTCTGGATGGCCGATTGATAGCCTGGTGCGCTTGGCCACTCTGCCAGAAAAAGTCAAGGAACGTGCGAACCGGCCGATCTATTGATTTCTGTCACGCACAAGCGGGTGAAAAAAAGTGGTACGAAGACTATAACGCATCTGTCAAGGACGAGTGAAGAACAACCAATGAAAACTCTTCGACAGCCCACGATCGATTTCACCCTTCTTGGGACTCATCAGGTAGGCGCAGTCCCCGAGTTTCCGTCAACCTTATGTTTTACTTGAACCCAGATTGATCTGCAAATGAGAGGATTAGTCTGTTTCAATGTGAATTTTTTACCGGTGAACTGACCTAATAGGCGCGGATGGGCCGACTGCCCCCGTGTCTATTTTCTACCCAATAGCTACGACGGAAGACAGCCGAAAGTGCTGTCTTCCCTTACTTGTTGTTCAGGTGCGTAGTCAAACTTATAAGTGGTCTCCAACACAGGCACGTAGTCTCAGTTGCAACTAATCTGCATATTTGCCTTCAGGAAGCAACAACCAAAAAATCATGTGACTTTAACGACCGAAACGTAGGCTTTTGATTGGCTATCTCTTTAACACCCTGAGACGCATTGGTGATGACTCATGATGACTCACTGGGCTTTCTCAACAGGTCCGAAAGACTTTAATTTCGCCTTCGAGGGATAAAATGCAATCACCTAAGGGCTTGGGCCAATGCAGTCAAGCAATCGTGTCGCTCAAGCGTTCACCTGTTCAGACGTAAAATTCGGATGCGCTGGTGGAGCAATGGTAACACGCTAGCCCCGCATGGCAGATGTGTTGCTGATCTCCTCCAATAAGAGCGAAACTTGATCCCAGTTCCTCCCCCCCTAAGGGGGGACTCACCAGAATAATCACGCCAGAACAGGAGGATGGCTATTCAAACAAAAGTGGTGTGGATATGGACTACATTATCATCGAATGACTCGGCTCCCCGATAGTTCGAAGTGCTCTCAGCAACGACTAGGCCAAGTACCGCTGAATGTAGCTTCCATGGTTGGCCTCAACACTCACAAACCATGGATTTACTCATTTGTTCGGTGAGTGGGATGTTTAGTCCATACAAGAAATGTGCACAGGGCATAACCGATATGTCTAAGCTTGATATGCGACCCTCTTGGATAGACAAATACAGGAAAAACAAGCTCGCTACCGAAAATGGCTTTCGTTTTTGGAGTTCCGAAAGAAGCGCCGAATTCGAGAAAACAGGACATAATGGTTTGTTCGGAATTGGCGTCCCTCGCTTGTAGCGAATAAAAATGGCAACACAAGAGACGCATGATGTCAAATATTTTCGCCAGACAATGAGGGGGAAATTCAACCAACTTACGTTCCGTGCATTGTCCGTCATGCGATCGAACAAATGTTGATGAAATTTGAGAGTTGCAGTCAGTTGCTCCAACTGTGTCCATTGCCTACCCATGGCTTGGATCCACACTGTGGTGGAGATAGAGACTACTGAAGGGTTTACCTCCAACAATGCAGCTGGTGCTGGGAGACATGACTGAATCCATTCGTAGAATATTCTCAAGGTACTGGTAACGACTTCAGCGTCTTGTAGACATGCGTGTGACGTTAGGGTAAGTAGTAAACAGATTATCTGGAGAAAACAAGATAAAAGTAGAGCTGTTAGTTTCTTTGGTGTCACCGTTCCGCTTGTCTACCATATGCTTCGTCTATTAGGTTAGTTCAGTCTCCCAAGGTGTGAAAATTTCGGAATGATCACTTTACTACTAACAAGCAACTGTTGGTTAGTAACAAAAAAATGAATCTCCACAGCGTGAATCGTGCAGTTGCCCACAAGAAAGTATGCTTTAACGTACTACAGAAACTTCAACCACATTCTTGCTTCCCTAGACCACAGGAAACAAAAGATATTTCTTAAGAACAGCCTCCAAATTTCCACCAGCATCTTCGGTAAACCAAGGTCACGAACTTTCTGACTACGGAGTCACGCAAAAAAGCACGATCAAGCAAACTATGTCGAACTGGGAAATTGTTACGTTCTCACAACTCCGAAACCCTTCTTTTATGCCACACAGTTCGACCGGGCCGAATCCTCTTCAGAAGTGAATCGCCTGACCCTCCGTGATGCAAAAAAGCACCAGCGCTGGTTGTAACTACGACGACAGCCCATCTCACAATCGACTTTGCGTGACGCGAGCCTAAAGTAGTGTGTCCTTTCAACTTTGTGACCATTAACGGGTGCAGTTCAGATTTTCATCATCCAGAAACACACGACTTCGAAGTCTTCTGTCAAACAAGACTTATCTTAGCGCTAGCTCATCCACACAGACGGACAGAAGGTTCAAACGACGTTCAAGAGGAACCATCAAATGAACCGAACAAGAAGAACTAGACCCTAGGCTGGACCCAAACACATGTGGGTTCCCCCATCGACCCAACACTTGTTCACCCACCCTAACACACTAAAATCCCTCGGCCGACACCCAACAGAGATTTAGCTTGACCTATCTGATTGGTTCTCCTTCCGCCTTCAATCTCGATCAACCTCGGAACCTAGTCACTTGGCCTGACGAAGCTTTTGTGTCAAAAGCGAAACGTTGCCCAGCAATAAATCTGCCGATTTTCACCAAAGTTTTTCGGAAACGAAGACTTATCGTCGTTTATCATCGATAGCTGACGTACCACTGATGCCACTGAATTAGGGGGACTCCAATTTCTATAGTATGTCAGCTGATTGGATCGATCGATGATTCACAACTGACTTGCCTCGTTATCAGAGACCTACTGCTTGGTCAAGTTAGTAGATTCACTTGTGTATGACTGGCTGATTCGCACTCATTGTTTCGTCATGCCTGTCGGGACTTGTGGCTTGGTTTTAGCCAACCTAATAATGCTCACTCTGCGTAGACGAGTGAACCATAATTGCAGGAAGCCTTTGCCTCACTCAACGATCGGGCTGGTCTATCATTGACGAATTAATCGATCGATTCAAACTCACTTGTTTGATGTTGCCCATTGGAAAATGTGGCTCGACGATGGAAGAGGAGACAGCCGCAGATACAAAAAATTTGACTTCGTTTATGACTGGCAGTTTTTTGTTACCGAACGAATCTACCGACCGGAAGGTTCGTGGTTCGAACCCGACCTCTTTCTATCGACCAGGCTTGGGCAAACTGGCAGTATCCCATCCCCTGTGTCCCGTTCTGTTGGCATGGCAATGATTCAGCTGAACGATAGACCGATATTAATCCAATGGTTCAGAACATTTTCAGGGTCGCAATGAACCAGTGGTCATAGTGATCGGAGAGTGGTTTTCTTCAAATTCTTTGCTACAATTTATTTTCTGTGGTTTATTTACAGTGAGCAAGATTCCCGTTTTGTGATAAACTGTCTTGACTTCCTCCCATGCTAATTTGTGAGTCCCTCTGCTAATTTGTCCCCCTACCAAAACACTGCGTGTATTTTTAAAACGGTCATGTTGTTGAGTCGGATATTTTCCCAAGAACAGCGATTCTGTGGAGGTTTCATCCTGTGGGTGGAGCCAATCTATGCTGAAAAGCCGAGAAACACTGTACAGCTGTTCCATCCTTATCGGGATTCATCAGCAGTGCGCATCTCGCGAAACTCTGGGGAGTCTCGAACCAGGGACCCCCGGGCAAGTAATTTGAACATTTAACCGTTCGGCCACAAGCGGCTGATCAGCAATGTGACTAACTGACACTTAGGACATAACGCCGGTGATCCTTCAGTTACAGGATCCACATCACGCAGTCGCAAGTGTTGACTGGCTCCTCGAGCAACAACTTTTCAGATAGAGGTTTCACTCATCGAGTGGAGTTTATTCTTCCACTGAGATACTTAGGAGTTGTTGGTAGCGTGAGGAGATGTGATAATTTTGTGGAGGTTTCGCTCTGCAAATGAAGTGGTTAAGCGTTCAAACTACTTGCAAAAAGGTCGCGGGTTCGAGACTCCTCGGAGTTTTGCGAGATGCGCACTGCTGACGATTCCCAATAAGGATGAAACAGCTGTACAGTACTTGTCGGCTTTTAAGCATAGATTGGTTTCACAAAATTCCCAAATCTCCTCACACTACAAACAGTGATTTGATGGATAATGGAAAATCTCAGAAATCATGGTTACGATTAAGTTACCAGGACTGGTGCCGTTCGCTTTTATCGACCAAATGCTTGGCCAAGGCAACCCATTGCTAACCAGAAAATTTCCGCCCCCCATGTGGCGATGTGGTGTAATAGACTGGTGAATCTGGGACAATGATATATGACGAGGACATCCTAGTGTAATCTGGTGTAAAGCACACCAGCCGAATGAAAATTCAGAAGTTTATTCCTCTTTGCTTCTTCGATGTTGGCCCCGCCGATGGGTGATCACCATGATCACCGTCTGTGTCGCTACAACTGTCTCCTGGACGGGGATACTTCTTCACAGGGTTCCCTCGAGTGAATCACTCGATTCCTTGATCCCCATTTGACACAGACACTGGGGTTGTGTTTGCCTGATGACATCTGGTATAATGACCACATTGTTGGCTTCGCTGCGGAGATACTGTCCGTTCAGTCCATAATGCCTGTGAGAGGCCATCTTTTTCAGTTCCTACTGACAACCGATAAGTGTATTTCTTCATGTTCGCTATTGATCCCGGATAGAATGTCTACCAATCGCAATCTCTCTTTCGGGCTCAGCCATTCCTCTCACTTCCTGAATCCCACTGTAGGACAACACTGTCACTCCACTCTTCCATCCTTATAACTGATCGCTTCGCAAATAAAATATCCGGAAACTATTCACAAGTTTGCTGTAAACTCTTCGACAGCCCACGATCGGTGTCACCTTTCTTGGGGCTCATCAGGTAGGCACGCAGTCTCCAAGTTTCCGTCAACATCAGGTTCTACTTGAACCCGAATTGGACTGATTGCGACAAATACACTCATTTGCACATCAACTAGGTTTTCACGGAAGACTCAAGAAGAATGGAATTTGCCGTGTGCTGTCAAAGAGCTTTCAGCAACCTTTTAGGTTGTTCCCTTTGGTCAACGGCCCAATGGAGCGCTTGCTTTGTTGTTTGGAAGGATAAGCTCGTTATTTGATGTTACCTGTCTCAAAACCATAGATGATGAGTCTGTGGAAGTTGAGAGGACCCTGGAAACTCAGCTCAATGTTTAGACCACCAGTAAGACCAGCTGAAACCCTGGAAATACTAAACAGCTGTTCCAACCTTGTTGTGGAGCATCAACAATGCTCATGAGTCTCTAGACAGGCCCAAACCTGCAGCCTTCCAGCTGATGAGTGAATACTATTCCGGTTGGCCACTAGTGTCTGATCAGCAGCCTTATTAAATTGCATGTAAGCAGGAGTTCCAATCCCTCACCCTCGATCACTAGTGACGAATGCGCAACTAGAGGACCCATGAGGATTGGCGGACTTCTTTCTTTCTGAGTAGTCTGCAGGTAATACATGTCTACAGCAGCAGATCATACTGCTCTCTGATCTTGTGGTGTTGGGTGAATCTTCGAGTGTTTATCAAGGCGACGGCGCTGTTCAAACGCCAGATACTAACATGCACACGCCTTAGCAGAATCGATTTAGGGACGGCTGCGTACTCACCAGCCCTTGTTGAACACAGACAACTGAAACCGAAATAAGTTTGTTCTATTTTTTAAAGAGTATACACCCAACATTGTTCTCCTAGCGTCGTTACCCACTGTCACCTTGGTTTTCCATTAATGGGTGGACCGGATAGCATTTATACGGTACTCTAGTGACAGAACCTAAAGCAACTAAGGGGTAATGCCGACACCTCAATGATAAAAAGTAAACAGTCACCAGTGCGACTGTGTTTTGTGCATGCTCACGGCTTCAAACAAGCCGCTGTATTTTCACCCGCAAGTGTTTTGCTTTCGGGTCTATATTGGCACCAGTCGCTTGCATGCACGGCAACTTATGGCTACGCAAAAGCCGCTTGTGGATCTTCACTTATTGAGATTTCGTTCCATAAGTGAAACCACTCTAGGCGAAGCTCAGGGGCGCCCACAGCGTGCAGCCTTCCAGCTAGTAGCTTGAACAATTGACCGTTTGGCCATCAGCGGGTGAATAACAGCGTGACTGACTAGCACTTAGACAGGATAGAGCACCGCTCATCCTCCACTCACAAACAGTGCATCACGTGATCATGTGCTGACTGGCTCCCCACGTGATGACTTTTCTCTGTACTCTTCCTCTGAGCTTCTACCCGGTCTGTACACACTACCGACAGGTTTATTTTTGACGAATGTTGACCGACGAGTACGATTTGTTCGTCCATTCGTGACGGATTCGAGAGTTTTGGGATTCATTACGTAAATGTTTGATTAAAACACATTGGTCCATTTCTGCTGAATATGAGCCAATTCCAAATTGAGCATCACTGTAGCGAGGAAAAAACATCTCTCAGCTATATTCTGACGGTTGATTTACAAAATAAATGTGATTTAAGTGAATGAAACCATTCGTAGAAACTTACGTCATCCTGGATAGACCCAAATTGGGTAAGCATCCGCTGAAGTTGATTGCATTGGCTTAAAACGCAACTTGCTGTGACCATCCAATCCGGTCGTTGTGTACAAAACTGTACAAAACTTGTCGGTCCAGGAGCACTTTGGAGCACAATTTGAAGTTGTTCCGACAGCGTTTGCACGTGCTTCAGCACGCTGTCTGCATTGATAACAATCCAAGGGTTGAGAAATTCCTGATCCCGGACATCCGCTGCCTTTTGAAGTACAAATAAACATGTCAGCAGTTTTCCTGGTAGGTAGTATAAGGCGGTTCGGTAACCTTTGAACCTTTTTACAGATTTCGGTGTAAGAGAGCTGACTGAATACCAAACGACAAAAATGACTAGCTTGAGGATTGGTTAGTTTCTGCTGTCCTGCTGAGGTGTTCACCGAAGACGGGAATTTCGGCAGCTCTGCTCATTCGGCGTAGATCCAGGTGTCTGTTTGCCACTGAAGGCCGTTCATCGCAACGGAAGGTTCCGTGGTTAATACAAACCAAACTATGTTGAGGTACATCTTTGTGCTAACTTTTTCGGCATTCACTAAGTGTACAATGTGGATACAGAAGGTGGACACAACCAGTCACCAGCTTTCATAAAGGAAACTACTCACAAGTTTGCTGAAAACTTTTCGACAGCCCACGACCGGTTTTGCTATACTTGGGGCTCACCAGGTAGGCGCAGTCCCCGAGTTTCCGTCAACCTTATGTTCTACTTGGTCGCTCTTCTCCTATCTGTTTCGGTATCACTGCTAAGAACACTGTCTTACCCCCCCCCCCATCGATCAACTGGTAAACCAGTGGGGTGACTGCTCTAACCTCTAACATTTAGGACTTTTCACCTTGGCAGTTCCCATCGGCGGTTCCCATCACCTCTAATCTAATGTGTGTTTACCCGCGCGAAACGACCTTATACAAGGAGAGATGACACATCCTCCCTTACGGTGTACTCCACCCTGCTGGTCCTCCTCCTCTCTAAATCTCGTAAGTTCACGTTTCGCAGGTCCTGCACGCATGCCGTGTATTCCTCTTTCTACCCCCTGGTTTGAACTCCTGACCGTCAGAATGTTCGGTACACACGCAGTCACGGGTAGCCAGTCAGCGTGAGACAAATGGTTCTGTGATAAAACGTGTAGATTTAATTTGGTTGGCCTATGGTTGGATGCCACACCTAACACTTCGGATGTCGTTACGCAGTCCTAGTAATCCTGCCGCGGATCTCTTCATTCCCCTCATTCGGACTGTGGCAGTGTGCTTACGTGAGAGAGAATGCAGCCCCAAAGGCAGCCTTAAATTTCTGGCTACTGATAAGCTATAGGTAGTAAAGAAAATGTCGATTTCCACTCCAGCATTAGAGTCTGAGTCTGCTTTGGCCTGCACAAATCACCTCAACAGTCATCACTCCAAGGAACTGAATTGTCTTCTTACTGCTAACTTTAACCCCTCCCCCGACAGATTTTAAAAGCTATCCATCAACAAGGTTATACTGGTTCCACTTGGTTTCAAAGGGCTCCAAACTTTCGAAGTGGATTCGAGCTACTCACCTTTTCCCCAGGTGCTTCCTCCACCAACTCAGAGCAGAGACTCAGTGGGGGGACTGCTCTAACCTCTAACATTTAGGACTTTTCACCTTGGCAGTTCCCATCGGCGGTTCCCATCACCTCTAATCTAATGTGTGTTTACCCGCGCGAAACGACCTTATACAAGGAGAGATGACACATCCTCCCTTACGGTGTACTCCACCCTGCTGGTCCTCCTCCTCTCTAAATCTCGTAAGTTCACGTTTCGCAGGTCCTGCACGCATGCCGTGTATTCCTCTTTCTACCCCCTGGTTTGAACTCCTGACCGTCAGAATGTTCGGTACACACGCAGTCACGGGTAGCCAGTCAGCGTGAGACAAATGGTTCTGTGATAAAACGTGTAGATTTAATTTGGTTGGCCTATGGTTGGATGCCACACCTAATACTTCGGATGTCGTTACGCAGTCCTAGTAATCCTGCCGCGGATCTCTTCATTCCCCTCATTCGGACTGTGGCAGTGTGCTTACGTGAGAGAGAATGCAGCCCCAAAGGCAGCCTTAAATTTCTGGCTACTGATAAGCTATAGGTAGTAAAGAAAATGTGAATTTCCACTTCAGCATTAGAGTCTGAGTCTGCTTTGGCCTGCACAAATCACCTCAACAGTCATCACTTCAAGGAACTGAACTGTCTTCTTACTGCTAACTTTAACCCCTCCCCCGACAGATTTTAAAAGCTATCCATCAACAAGGTTATACTGGTTCCACTTGGTTTCAAAGGGCTCCAAACTTTCGAAGTGGATTCGAGCTACTCACCTTTTCCCCAGGTGCTTCCTCCACCAACTCAGAGCAGAGACTCGAAACCGCCAAATGTCGCTTCATCTCGCGATCATATCGGACGAAGTTGATCATCAGCGACTTCCACTCTTCGTGCAGACTTTCAAACTTTATTTTGACCTTCTCCCAGTAAATGGCACGATGCCAGTATCGCAAAAGTTCTGTGTTATTCACAAGTAACCCGCATTGTACCACTCGTTCCACGGTGCATTCAGTCCACTCACAGCTATATTCTAGTCCAAGCACGCTTCGCACGTCTGACCAGTATTGTGGGTTGCTTTTCTAAAACAAAGAGGCGTAATAAAAAAGCGTGATCAGATCCCAACCTACAAAGACAAGATTACATCTTCAAGTCGAGGAATATGTTCCAGTCAATTCTATTCATTCATTTGGTGAGGTGGGCGATAACTCTAACATATTTCCCTATGATAGCTTAATCCCGTGCAGGATAAGATACATTTTACTAAAAAGACAAAACAAAAGGCGAGAACAAGACAAAACTTCTTGTCATAAATTGGCAAATCTACCCACTTTTATCGGTTTCCGATACTTTTTGCTTGTCTAAACGTGGTTTTCCGGCAACCGCCTGCATTTTCCATCAGACTGTTTGGCTAGCTCGAATTTTATAGTGAGCTGGTTCGAACGTGTCTCGTTTCGAAGAGTCCAAAGAATGTCTCATTTTGACGTAATTTAAACCAGCATGCAGCAAAAAAGTCAACTCAAGACTGATGTTCCGTTCGTATTTTGCTAAGCAGCAAATGTGTAAATGCATCAACCGATTCCGGGTGACCACCGAAGCCCATAACTTCTTTTTCATCAAAGCTACTGTTTTTTGTGCATGAGGGAGCAACTTTAGCTTCCTAATCAATCGAGGTGCTGAATGATACTCACAGCATCCACTTTACAAAAAATGATTATTATTCATCCATACCGACTTTCACGAGATTGTTCTATGTGGATAAGTTATCATAATTATTTAGTAGGAGGTCACTAGAACCACATTGTGACTTCCCGTTCAGTATCGATCCATTCTCCTGTTCCTCAAGAGTTCCAGAGTTGTGTGCACTAAATTAGGTGCCGGTGTTCTCAAGTCAAGGGCTTCTTACTGAACTTGATATGTTCAAACCACGTACAATTCCTGGCCCACTTGCAACCTTACCCGCCAACAGGTACATTAAAACTTCCAGCCATTTTCGCTTACGCGGCTACCACTGGCGACCAAGCCAGGATTCATTCAATACATCAGGTCAAGTTGTTTTCATGTTTGTGCAAGTATCAAACACGAGGGGACACCCCTCTCTCCACAATGCACACAATAAGTAGGCATACAACTAGGCTCGACACACACACTCGAGAGCACAGGACAGGAAGTCAAAAGTGCTCCGCAAGTCTTCACGGACAACTACGAAACACGTGTAGCAGCTACACGGCAGAGAAGTCTCGTCCCGCGTCCGGAACTTCACTCAGGAACTATCAACAAGGGTCCTCAAACGATAGGTCACTTTTTGGCTTATTCCACTTTTCGCATTGTATCTCTTTTCATTGCACCTAACTATTGTATTCATCACATTCTAGTAAAACAGACATTTGTTAGTGCTTGTTACCTTCTGATAATCAACTTAATTACGTCACAACTAGACCACTAACAGACCTAAGCCATTCAGAATTTTATGCTGTCTCTATACTGCTCAAATACCCAGCAGTAGCACAAAAGTAAAGCTTAAATTCACTGGGCATCACAACAGCCTCAAAACTTGTCCGGACCACCCATTCGTAGAAGAAAAGTTAACTCAGGTCATTTTTTAACACAAACTGTCGACAGAACTGTCGACGAACTTCGGATTTTTCGAATGCGCCGTATGAAGTTTTATGGGCATGATCAGTGCTGCCTAACGATACCGGTCAGATAAAGGAGGCACCAAATTCAGATTTCACTCAGCAACAAGCATTAAGTGAATAAAGTATCAGTCTCTTCCTGATTCTGTAGGGAATCAGTGACAACGAGTTGCACTCGATTCTGAACTGCTCTATTGGTGACTTCCTGTGGTTTATTTGTCCTGCGTTAGTAAAACATCATAGTCATGTGACCTCGATTTTCATGATACTCCGGTGCCATTAATGACCATAATCGTAAACCTTTCCCACTTCGAGAAATCTCCATCCCTTATGTATGTTGTGAAAAAGAACCGAACGCTGCTGAAGGAGGAACTGATAAGAAGGTGAAGTATCGCTTCGCTGTTTTTCTCCATGCTAGGTACGATATCTTCATCGAAAATTGTGTCGTGGCTCCCCTGAGTAAATTCGTCGCGTCACAGTGCTGATACAGGTTATCGAAAGTGAAATCACAACATCAGATTTTCCGCTCCTATTTGTTATCTCTGTTTCTAAACAGATCCCATCCAATGTCATCATGTGGATTTACACAACTTTCACCGACTTCCCCACACTGACTACGACCCGTTCTCGAATCTGAACAGATTTTCTCGGCCTTTTGTGACCATATTAGGGGGGAGATAGAGCATTATGACCACAAATCTCAAAATGTTGGCCAACTTTCCAAGGGCTGGACCATTACAGTTTCAACCAACTCCAGTGTATGAATTGTAAACATTTAGTAAGTATCGTCAATATTCAAGGCGGGACAAAACGGAATTCGCAATATCATTACCTAATTTGTGTGCATGTACAAGATCAAGAGAGAGGGAAATTAAAAAATATATGTGACCGAAAGTTACCGAAGGTGAAACTGAGACCCTGAACGACGTGAGCAAGTGAACAGCAAGTCATCCAAGAATGATCGATATAAAAGCGCGCGTCTAACTGGTAGGGGGCGTGCGAAGTTTCAGCGATCAGAGTAAGGTAACTTGAGAACTGATTGCAGCTCAAGGTAACTTTTTGATTAGATATTGACTGCGGAAAAATGTTTCAGTCTCGCGGTTGGAAAAAATCTTCCGCATATCAAGGTTATTTTTATCATGATCACGTCAATGCTCTGTTGGAAGGTCAACCGCTCTACCACAGAAGTTGATAAAAACCTCTATATACGACTCACCAGTAAGTTTACGTCCGCGACGGGCTTCAAGGCTTGGAGGAGATGATCTAAACTCTGCAACCGATCTGCCGTTTTGCATAGCATCTCGTCTACAGTTCCTTTTTCATCACAGATCTGCAACCAATTCTGTACTTGATATTCCAGGTCCTGTAGTTTTGTCTGCAAAAAATATCGATTGAGTAAATATGGTTGATCTTACATGAGACGTCCAAGAAGAGAATTACAGAGAATAGAAACGGCTTAGTCTGACAGAAGAAGCCTCGCCCGCTTGTGCTAGGGACTGAGGGAAATTCTGAACTTCTGAAATCATTATCTGTACAAGGTGTCCGAGAGTCCTTCATCAAAACACAACCCCAAATGATTTTCGTGACGAGTACCGCCATTATTTCCACGTCATCCTCAGAAAAGACAAACAGATTAGATCAAAATAAATATCAGCTAAACATGCACGAAGCCCATTGAGATGCGCTTGTCTAGCCCTATATTTATCTATCTATCTATCTATCTACTATCTATCTATCTATCTATCTATCTATCTATCTATCTATCTATCTATCTATCTATCTATCTATCTATCTATCTATCTATTCATCTATCTATCTATCTATCTATCTATCTATCTATCTATCTATCTATCTATCTATCTATCTATCTATCTATCTATCTATCTATCTATCTATCTATCTATCTATCTATCTATCTATCTATCTATCTATCTATCTATCTATCTATCTATCTATCTATCTATCTATCTATCTATCTATCTATCTATCTATCTATCTATCTATCTATCTATCTATCTATCTATCTATCTATCTATCTATCTATCTATCTATCTATCTATCTATCTATCTATCTATCTATCTATCTATCTATCTATCTATCTATCTATCTATCTATCTATCTATCTATCTATCTATCTATCTATCTATCTATCTATCTATCTATCTATCTATCTATCTATCTATCTATCTATCTATCTATCTATCTATCTGTCTACCTCTGTTTGTTTGTCGCACTATCTGTCTTCTCTCTGTCTGACTTCTGTCTGCCTGTCTATTTGTCTCTCTGTTTTCTAACTGTCCACCTTATCTAATCATAGTACCCCCCTCTAATGATCAATTGTGTTCAGCTAAAGTCTGACAAACTGGGACCATTCATCCGTGCGATCATGAAACACCTTTCCTGACCGTAATAGGAGGTCAATTTTC